GATTGAACAGTTGTAGTTAGCTGGAAGCTAGTTGAGGTGACAGTCAACCAATGACAAAACAATTGTGAGATTGCGGCCGGAAATTAAACTTGGTGGTTATAAGTGCATCCAAATGCTCTGGTAAGGTCGAGAGTGGGGGAGTCAACTGTCCCTCCACAATGATCTCATGTAGCCACGCGTATTTAGACACAGACACGCAAGTCCTACTCACTGCTTCTTCGCTCCAGGAGTGTTGTTTACGAAATTGAGAGAACGTAAAGCGAATACTCGGGTTAGTGAATATAGAGGACTCATCAAGGGGAGTTGGAAAATCCTCATTCTGAAATGATGGTGAGCATGGGCTCCAGGATCCTGAGGGAACAAATGGCTTATGAACCTATTGTTGGTCACTGGTTACTATGAGACTGCATCTTCTAACGTTGCTCCACTGTCTTGTGGATTAGACGTTCCAGTTGAAGGCCCCGTGTGGCCCCGTCAAGTAAATCATCTGCTTCAGTTTGGATGCCGAGTCAGTAGTCCAGATATCACAAATGTTTCGATTTGTGTGGTGTATATATATAGCATCCTTGTAAAACTTTTAATATGTTTGAATGTATAATAGATTAATGAATAACTTGGTAATTACTAGTCAAGAACGCACTACTTCATGCTCACTTGTCCGGAAACAGAGTAGATGATCATCATAATCCTACAAGTTAAACTTATAAATTAGTCAGTAATTTTATATAAAACCTTAAATACACATAAATGCAATAAAGGAATTTCAATATCGGGATAACTATGCTCACAGTGTCAGAGGACTATGTAATAGTTGTGCAGCAAATAACACACACATCACCTGCTTACTTACGTCCATTACTTCTCATCGAGGAGCATGGGTCGCCGATCAGGACCCTCTAACCAATTGCTTCTAATCGCTACTAATTCTTTCGATGTCTGCTTACGATTCCCGATACCATATGTCCTTTGGCCTTTCTCCTTTCCGTTTCCATACAAGATTCCAAGTTAGGGCTTACCTTGTGATGCCGTTTGGTGATTTCCTCAATGTATGTCCTATCCACTTCAACGTCTTTTCCTAATTTCCTCCTTAGCTGGAAGCTGGTTTGTCCTCTCCTACAGTAGGCTGTTTCTGATGGTATGCGGCCAACAGATATCGAGTATCTTGCGTAGACAACTATTTATAAATACTTATACCTTCTTGATGATGGTTGTAGTAGTTCCCCACGTTTCAGTTCCATACATTAGAACTGTCTTGACGTTCGTATTGAAGATTGTCACTTTGATATTGGTTGACAGTTATTTTGAGTTCTATATATTCTTCAATTGTAGGAATGTGGCCCTTCCTTTGACAATCCTCACCTTTACGTCTGCATCAGATACGCCTTGTTCATCGATGATGCTTCCCAGATATATGAAGGATTCCACATCTTCCAGAGCCTCTCCATCAAGTGTGATTGATTTAGTATTCTTCGTGTTGTATTTGCGGATGTCGCTTTTTCTTTTGCGCATGTTGAGGTCTGCTGATGCGAGACTGCCGCTACACTAGTTGTCTTCATCTGCATTTGTTCGTGTGTATGGGATAGAAAGGCCAGATCATCTGCGAAGTACAAATCGTCTAATTGATTGAGAACTGTCCATTGCATTCAGTGCTTTACCTTGGATGTTCAGGGTCTTCATAGCTCATTCGACCACCAGAAGAAAGAGGAAGGGGGAGAGTAGACAGCTTTGTCTGACTCCGGCCATTGCTTGAAACGCATCTGACGTCTGTCTTCCATGCTTGGATTTGCACTGCAGCAAGTCACAACACGATAAAATCAAATTTTCATTTCACTTTGGTATCTGTATAAAATATTGGAAAAAATTATTAGAACAATCTATCTAACAAATAACTTTGATGTAAGCTAAAGTGGACCATACATCATTTATAGTCATATGCTAACTTTAGACGATTTTAGTGAACTATCATAAGTAAACGAGAACAGACTCTGGTGTATTTTGTTTCGCTCCTAGAATATGTTAAGAGTCCGACTACTTCATAAACAAGTATATATTCTTTGTGTATTTCACCTAATGTCCCTCCTCTCGTTAGGTTTCCTTTTTTTGACAATACTGGTTTTGAGGGCGCTCCATGACCCTTTTTATCATGATATTCATTGTGATGTTTCCTTGCCAGACCCAACTTAACTCGAGCCTTATTATAATTCCTTGATATATCCTTCTAGAGCTTCGCGACCATTTGTAATAATAACAAAGGTCCCTAATGCATTGGTGATGTCAGTAACTTGGTTTGAACATTCATATCCCTACATGTGCATAATAACTGAGGCGTATGTCCAGTAGACGTATGGATGCTACCGCAATATCCCAGCAAACATCTATTTATTGCCTAATCCAACGACCTAGATTACTTTTGATTTTCAAACGTCGACGAGTTTTTGTCAATATTCTCCTATACACATTGTGAAATGCCTTCTCATTATCAACTAAGTTGCTGTTTGGTGACGATTTTCATTCAGCTGATTGCTCAATGATAACCCGTAGTGTCGCGATTTGGTCTGTGCGCGACCGATCCCTACAGAATCCAGCCTTTCGATCTCAAAGTTGGGCGTCTACTTAGTGTTTCATTCGTTTCGGCAACGCCGTTGAAAACCTTTCCTGGTATGGACAGTAGTTTGATGCTTTCATAATTCTCACAATTGCTCAGATCTCCTTGCTTTGGTATTTCGATGAGGTGTTTTTTGTTCCAGTCTCTCAGGTCTTGTTCTTCCTCTCAAATCTTTTTGAATCGGACGTAGAGCATGTTTGCAGTTGCTTCTATATCTGACCTTTGTGTATCAGCTAATATATTAATATTTTTATTGTATAGTTAAAAAGCTTAATTCATTGTATTTTTACACTCTCCTGCTTTTAAGCTTTTGGTTGACACCTAAATTTTCATCGTGTTACATCTCTTTCAAATTATCAGACTATGGAAAAATAAAATGGTAAAAGTTTTCTATAACACTACAACGGAGTGGTAAGATTAATAACTTCAGATAGGTTCATCCAGAACGTTAAGCTTGATAAATATTTATTCACATTTAACAATAACAAAGGGACAGATGGGCCCGTTTCCTGTATCTTCAACAAACCTGACATTGCTAAGAATATATACATCAGTAGAAAAGAAGAGAAAATTGTTTAATGTAGCTTATGTAGAGGCCATTTCCAAGTTTTAAGTATCGTTACTAATATGTCGATCCTCAAAAACTATTAGGAAGCGATGTGTTTCTATTTGTTGCGATTGCATTTGTATTCCACTTTTGTTCATCCTAACAAGTATTGCTTCGAAAATTAATAAATTCAATAAGGATGCACTATCAGCAACAAGTTACTGTGGGAGAGAACAAACCAGATTCCAGCGGAGGAAGAAATCAGCAATAAGCGCTGGAAGTGGATAGGACATACATTGAGGAAAGCACCCTACTGAGTCACAAGACAAGCCCCCACATGGAATCCTGAAGGTCAACGGAGAAGAGTAATACCAATGAACCAATAGGCCGAGGAATGGAGACAGACATGAGAAGAATGAACAGCGATTGGATAGAACTAGAAATGAAGGCCCAGGATAGAGTGGGTTGAAGAATGATGTTTGGTGGCCTATGCTCCATTGGGAGTAACAGGCGTAAGCAAGTAAGTAAGAATGCAAACACCGATGTCTAGTTATAGATGATCCGAATCACTTGCTTTTCTTTGGTCCCAGTAAACCGAAAAATGGGAGGAATCCATCATTTTCTTTATAGCCCTTATCATTGGTTTTAATCTCTTTTCATTATCTCTCATTGAATTGATGGCAATTATTTTTCACAATCAAAGTTCTACATTATTTGAATTTACCCATACACTCATCATATCTGGATCCGACTACTATAGCAATCTAATGCCCAAAGTCATCAGAATGGAGAGAAACCGTGAAACTTCTGTCCTAGATAAAGAGAGAAACTCAACACGAGTAAGGAATCCCTACTTTAACACATTTAAACGAAACATCATGGAAGATACAATCTGAACTGTAATGATACTATTCAAATAAGAATTTACGAATGATTAACTTTGAATCAAAGACTTTCTTTTTCCAGCTTCGACCAATAGATACGAATGAGAACATACCTCAATACACTCCCACTTATCAGAACTTATAATAGTAGAAAAAGAATAGATAATGTGGTGAATGTTGCTGATGTTGACAAATATAAATAGTATGTACCATCAATTGAAAATGAAATACTACATGATGGTGGAAGGTTCAGAAGATCGATTAAAACAGAACGAGATCAAAGAGTAATTGGTGTGGAAACGAAGGAACAATGAAGTCTGAAATGATTGACTGACCGTTTTAAATGAAGTATTTAGTGTATGGTTCCTAGATTTTACCAAGTAATTCTGTAATTTTATACCCAAATACATTTAGTTTTCCCCGCCTGTATTCCCATTCACTACAATAATACACTCCGTCAAATAGGTTTCCATCATAACAAGTGATATCATATGTTCATTAAGATTTAAACAAATATAATATTATAGAGTTGAGATCGTGAGTCAATTGAAGCTAGACCACCATGGAAAAGCTGCTCACTAGTGACTGCCTCCATGTGGTATTTCCTGGAGTTCTAGTGAGAAGCAGTAACCAGTGGAGTTCAACCAAGTCTGTTGGGAGATATCAACTCACTGATGACATTGGTGAATGGTTGCTCAATTTCGTGGATTGGTTGAAGTTAGACATTAACACCGTTGGATGCCGGCCGGCTCAGTGGTCTATCAGTTAAGTGCTCTGGCGCGAGACTGGTAGGTATTGGGTTCGAATCTCGTGAGGCGGGATCGTGGATGCTCACTGCCACTGAGGAGTCCCACACTAGGACGAAATGGTCGTCCAATGTTCCCAGGTTTTCCATGGTGGTCTAGCTTCAATTGACTAACGATCTAAACTGTATAAAATGACAAAAATCTCCACAAAACCCCTTCTGATAAATATCTATAATATTCATGAAAACCAAAAGATCAATAAAAACCTAAAACAATTTCATACTACTTACAAATTTTAAAAGTAGGTGAAGTATGAAAAACAAAAAAATAGGTCAAATTTAAATTCATATAAAGATAAATAATGTTTTTCTTGTTTAAGGAACATTGAACATCAGTATTTTTTTAAAATAAATGCTTCATTTACAAGATTACGTCTTAGTTTAGATTCAATTACACGAAACATTTGGAAATATACAATTATATCATAACGTGATACTCTTTATTGTATACAATTCATTTAGGTCTCATTAATGCCATCATCATTCTATATGTATCTCATAACTATGATATTGATTCATGGAGAAACTTATGAAAAAGGATGAGCAGTTGGATCGTGAATGAAGAACACAATCGGATTTTACTATACTACACGAAAGCAACATGATCGAAGTATATGTGACTTTTTATTCTCCACGTTGTAGTAGTTCTTACTGTTATGGTTTTTGTTTGTGTCGTTTCAACTTTTTCATTTTAGATTGGTATTTTCTTTTACTGCACTGTAGTCTAGAAGATATTTGCAGTTTCTCACCTCCATTACTATCATTATTATTATTATTATCAGCATAACCGTAAACGTCCGTATCATCTTCACCATACTGATGCATAACGTTTGTGTCAGTTAGATAATCAAAGGATAATGATGATGATGGATGTTCAGGGGAAGATACATTGTATAATGAAGCTGAAGATGTCATTAAGGATGGTGATGAAGACATCGATGAAACCGTTTTGCTGGTATTAGACGTTGTTTCTTCCGATAACAATAAAAATGCTTTTAATAATTGTGAGCCGAAATTCATTAAATCAACTGGTCTTATTTGATGTTGGATAACTTCTACAGATTTATTTGAGTGTTTTTCTTTTTCTGTTCCGTTATCATTTCCTTGTTGTTCTTTTTCTTGTACCTGATTTCTACGCCATTTACGACGAATACCACAATAAGAAGCTTCAATTGTATAAGAGCGTAATACATTGAATTGTCGCCAAACAGCTATACGTGCTGTAGTCTCTTTAGCTTTACTAACCACATATCTGGAATCATGAAGAAAAAATAAGATGAATGAAGGTTCTAGATCAGAATGGGTTTTGTGGAGATTTCAGTATTTTCATAGTTGAAATCATGAGTCAATAGAAGTTAGACATTAACACCGTTGGATGCCGGCCGGCTCAGTGGTCTATCGGTTAAGTGCTCTTGCAAGAGACTCGTAGGTACTGGGTTCGAATCTCGCGAGGCAGGATCGTGGATGCACGCTGCTGAGGAGTCCCACAACAGGACGAAACGGCTATCCAGTGCTTCCAGGTTTTCCATGGTGGTCTAGCTTCAATTGACTCATGATTTCAACTATCAGAATGAAGGTTAGGAAAGAAACATTGTGAATTGTTTGAAGTTAGACAGCAAAACCATTGAATGTTGGCCTAGTGGTATAGAGGCTAGATGATGACACGTTAGATCAAAGGGTCCATTTCCCAGTAAAGGGTCTTGGTTGCATACTGAGACGAAGGAATACCACGACAGGGTGGAACAGTCGTCCAGTAAGTCTGGGTTTCAATGGTGGTTTAGCTCAAATCAATTCTTGATTGAAATCATGGTAAAGTAATTAACAGGTAGATAAATGAAGAGGCTGAAAAAATAACTCACATTAATTAAAGGGGTGTAATATAATGTTCACAATACTAATGATAATAATAATTAGTTAAACATATAAATATTGGTACAAAGGGACCCAGAATACATATGCGTCACATTTCACCATTCGATTTATGTGAAGGTTAGAATACTGTATGGGCATCTAAACCGAAGCAGGTGGTTATTATAGGAGGCTCCACAGTCCAAACCTTCGGCCTACAGGTCTAATCCATAAGACAGTGGAGCAACATCAGAAGGCGCAGTCCCATGGCAGCCGTTGACCAACAATAGGTTCATACGCCATTTGTTCAATCAAGATCCTGGCGCCTATGTGCACCAATGGTTTGGAATCAGGGTTTTCCAACTCTCCTAGATAGATCCTCTATTTCCACTAACCTGGTTAAAGCGCCTGCCGGACATTACAATATGGACAAACCAATCACATTGAAAGTAGTGACTGTCGGACATTTGTACGTAATTCAGATGACAGTGATAAGTAGTTTGATATCTGTTTAGGGTTAAGTAAATTTCGGAAATACTTAGCAACGAAGACGCTTGGAATTGATAAATAAAATAAGACTAACGAATGGCAGTGAACGTGAGAGATTCTGAAGGTAACCATAAGGAAAGGATTAGAATTGGATAATAAAAATAATGGAAAACCAATAGGATCCAAATTAATGTAACACTTTAACATGAGTAAAATACTTATGAAATTAACGGCTGCATTCATGAGTCAATTTAAGTTAGACCACCGTTGAAAACCTGGGAGCGCTGGACGGCTATTTTGTCCTAATATAGGGCTCATCAGCAGTAAATGTCTAACATTCAAGTATTCACCCATAAGACTACAAAGCATTTATCCATCTTAAATTTTAACCTAAATCTTCGATCAAATTCCTAACTCCAACCTTTATAAGTGTATAAAAACCTTAAGTTTTCATTTTCTATAATGATTTGCTTATTCGTATTATCTGAATTCTGACTGGTTAACAACTCCTAGGTTAGAGTCTCGCGCTTGGGATCGTGAGTACACACTACTGAGGAGTCTCATAGTGAGACAAAACGACCGTCCAGTGCTTTCAGGTTTTCCATGGTGCTAGGGACTCAAACTCACGACCTTCGATCTCATATGTGAAAACATAACCTCTACACCAATTAGCCGGCATTCAATGGTTTTAATGTTTAACTTCAATTGATCCATGATCTCGCATGACCCTTCATCTATTGTTTGAGGTCGCTAACTGTCTCACACCTGACACGGATTGGACTCAACTAGTCATCGCTTCTCAATAGAACTCCAGGAAATACATCTTGAAGGAGGATATTTAAAAGAAAAAAATGACTTAAAAAAGGATCATAATCTGATTAAATTGTAAAGTATTTAAAAACATTTTCTGTTTATTGTTTATGACCCAAAACTAGTCCATTCACTAATCCTCATTTACACACACACATACACACACACACATACACACAGTTATGGTGCAGTTAGAGATAAGAATATTGATTATCAAAATCGGAATAAACAAATTTTATTGACACATTGAATTATTATATCTATAATGAACAAATTGCATTTGAAGTATCTAATGGATACCTTAAGGTTTCTTTAAAAAGAAGAGAAATACTTAAATGATACAAAAATATTTTAAAGTTGAATTCATAAGTTAATTGAAGCTAGATCACTATGGGAAACCTGAAATCACTGAAAGGCTGTTTCGTCCTAGTGTGGGACTCCTCAGCAGTGTGCATCTACAATCCCTCCGTGCGACACTGATAAGTCCTGTGTTTGAATCTCGTGAGGCCGGATCGTGAATTCGCACTGCTGAAGAGCCCCACAATGGGGCGAAACGACCGTCCATTTCTTCCAGGTTTTTCATGGTGGTCTAGCTTCAATTGACTCATGATTTCAACACATTTAAAGATGATATTACTGTTATTATTTTCAGTTGATTTACAGTAATAACGTCAGTATTCGGTCATCACATAGTTACTTATTTACACGTGTTATCCCTCATAGAGGAGGATAGGCCGACCACCAGCATTCTCCATCCAACTCTTTACTGGAAAATCCTTTCTACTTGTTTCCAGTTGTTATTGATTCTTTTCATGTCTGCTTTCAATCATCGATCTTCATTGATCTTCTTCATTTCTGTTTTCTTTCAGCATGCAAAGTAAAATTATGTACTGTGATACAATTTAGTGATTTCCGTAGTGTATGTTCTATCCACCTCTAGAGTCTTTTCCTGATTTCTTCTTCAGCTGGAAGCTGTTTTTTTCTCTCCTACAGTGGGTTGTTGCTGATGTTGCCGGTCAACGGAAATTGATTATCTTACGTAGACAATTGATTATAACTACTTGAAACTCCTCTTGTAGCTTTTCTAGGGTTACTGCCAGTCCCAAGCCCGGGTAAAGAAGGAGGGTTAGGCATGAGGTTAACAACCCGATCCCGTAGAAAACAATCTTGGTAAAAGAACGTTAAGTACTCGGTCATGCCGTTATGCACCACTGGAGTTCAACCATATTAATTGTAGAGCAATCACCCACTGATGATATAAGATAATAGTTGTGTAATATTAGGAAATGGTTACAGTGAAACATGTAAACCTTTGAATAGTTACTTAATGATTCAAAAGTTAAAAATTTGATGGTCCACGGTTCGATCGTCTTGGTGGGGGGCGTGGATGCCTATTGCCAAGGTATTCAACACTAAGATGAAACAAGTGCTCATTACCTTGAGGTTTTTGGTGGTTGTCCAACCAAGATCAGTCTATGATGTAATCTTTGGAAAATTTACTAATAACCATAAACACCATGGTGACCATTTAAAACTTGAAATTTATCAACTAATCCACAATCCAGAAAATAAAGTCATCAAAATGAATGGCCTAGTATATTAACATAACAATAAAATAACTGAAAGCGTGATTCAATTGAAGCTAGACCACCATCGTAAACCTGGAAGCACTAGACGGTCGTTTCGTCCTATTGTGGGACTCCTCAGCGGTGCGCATCCACGATCCCGCACTCGCGAGATTCGAAACCAGGACTTACAAGTCTCTTGCCAGAGCACTTAATCGACAGACAACTGAGCCGGCATCCAATTTTCCTTGGTGGTCAAGCTTCAGTTGACTCACGCTTTTAACAATGAAAATACTGAATACTCCGCAAGACCCCCTCTGATAATAGTAATAAAATAACTTACAAACATGATTGTTTTGAAAAATATGGTGATAATTGATCTAATATATCAGCTAATAAACGATATGAATGATCTTCTGATTGATTGATACCACAATATGCAGGATTATGTATATCTGGATGTAACCATGATTCAATTGAACTACATCCATATAAAAAAATATTCTTCATACGTGAATGACCATGGAAATCAATGAAAATCTGCTCATACACACACACACACAAGCAATGAGAGATAAAACGAGAAAAAAAAGTAGTAGCGTAGGCAACGTTACGATTAGCATCAATAACTGGTGTATAATTTTATCAAATAAATTGAAATGTATTGAATACCTGGAAATACTGGACGACCGCTTCGTCCTAGTATGGGACTCCTCAGTACTGTGTAACCACAATTCCGCATACGGGACTCGAACTCAAGACTGAACTCAAATTGAATTAAACTATTGAACATTCTACAGAAATTCTCATAAACAGTAAAGACCTTGTTTACGAAACCTCAGTACATTTATACGGGATACATCAGCTAACTTCACAGAACTGATAAACTAACTGAAGTAAACAGTTACTATTGAAATAAATATAAAGCAAAACGTTCTAACTGAATATTAATTTTCAAATGACTGGTGATTTGTATCTATTCCTTTTCATTGATATTTGATTGGTCTTCCCTGTCTCCCAAATTTTGCGGATGTTCCATGTACTTATAAAGAGTGTTGCTGTGGTTGTTAGAAGAGGCATCGGCCTCATGACTTCCGAAAATGTTCGGCTTTCATCATGAGGCGTTATAATTATTCCTTCAACTCTCAGGGCAGAGTTTAAATGGTTTGAATTATTTTTTCTGGTTAGCGTTTTTTTGGCGAGTTAGTTTGTCTATGGGATGGGGTCGCTAACCTCATGTCTAAGCCTCCTCCTTTACTCGGGCTTGGGACCGGCAGTAACTCTAGAAGATCTACAGGCGGAGGGAAGGGAAGCGGAAAAGAGGATGGCCAAAGAACACATTATGCCGGGAAATAGAAGTAGATATGAAAAGGATGAATAACAACTGGAAAGGATTGCCTAGGACAGAGTTGTTTGAAGAATGCTGGTGGGCGGCCTATGCTCCTCCACGAGGGGTAACAGGCGTAAGTAAGTAAGGTGATTTGTAGTTATTGGTAGCCTATCAACTAATGAATTCATTGTAAGATAATTACTGTAAGTACTAACTTAGAAATCTAGGAAGATTAAGAGGTTCGTCAAAGAGTTTATGCAGCCATTTAGAAGTATCCATTGAAAAGAAAACGACGGCTGATTAGGTGAGGATTTATTGAATAATAGATTATACACAACAGTATAAACCAATCACTTTTTTATCATACCACAAGTATATTTGAATAATACATAGAGAAGATTTGTGAATTGATTGGGGGAAGTTGACTACCACCTCACAACACAAAATAGTGCAAACAATATTGATTCTCTCAGACTAGTGCCCACTTTGTGACTTAATCGACAGAATTCTATCATTACTAAGAATGATTTATCATACATAACATTGATCACTACTCAGTAATCAGTTAACTGTAGGAGAGAAATTTGTATAATAGACTAACATCTACTGAAATGTCATTGTCAGCTAAGAAGCTCCGGACACCTGTTCCATTCAAATGTGGATGACCTAATCAGTGATCATTTACGATTCTAACGAAATTCAAACGAGAAACGTCATTGCATAAGCAGAAATTTAAATACTATTTAAGCTTTATAGCTTGTTATCTCAGTAGTATATTGATTTTATCATTGTGCCTGATACACTGAACCAGTCCGAAATCAGCAGAATGATAAGTACACGCGACTAAACAAGAAATGATTCGCATTTCCAAAGGATAAGACACACCATCTATATTAGTCAATAAACTTTCTTTTCAGTAGAGTAGTCGGTTCGACTTATATTTGCAAGGCTTGTGTATAAGTAGCAAAATAAGACGCAGGGCAATACAGAGATGTCACTCATAAGTGCAAGTATGACATGTAAGAATCTAACCTAGAAATAAAAAGAATGGTAGAAAGTATTTGAATGAAAAAACAAATCCCAAGCTTAGAGAATATATTTTAGTAGTATATCCAAATTCTGAACAAAATCATGATCCCATAAGATTGCCCTCTGACTAAAATACAGACATCAACAAGCTCAGTCAGTCAGAACGTAGAACTTCGTACGTACGTTCATCAGTTCGAGTTGCCATACCACATTAGCACAAAGATTCAGTTGTCGATTTAAATCCCATAGTGGTAGAAAGAGTATAAGCATTAATGTGAAAGATTAGGGTTTGAAGATGTTATTGAAGGAGTATCATTCAGTGAAATAAATTTGGAAAGTGAGAAAAGATAGAGACATGAAGAATTCAGAAGATTAGAATTTGACGGAACACAAAGGGTGGATGCACCTTCGTCATTGAAAACGATTTTGAGTCATGTCATTCAAGGTCTCTAACCATCGATTGCTATCAACTCGCGAATCCCAACCAGGTAGTCTACACCTACCAACATGGCTCAGTCCAATTGTCAGTGACTTCATGGATTTATGCCACGTTGTGGTCTGGCCGCCCTTAGCTTACTTCCAATCTACTCTTACGCCATAAAACATTGCACGTCGAGGCAGTTGGTAGTCGGACATACGTAACAGGTGTCCCAGCCATCTCAATTGATGAAGTTTCGTTACGTATGCCCAAATGTAATGAATAGAATACGACCGTGGACAATCGAATGTATTTATGCAAATATTACAGACTATCTCAGTAAATTCCAATAACCATACAATGGACAGTTAATTTGCAAATTAACAACCAATAGTCTCAATCTTCACTGTTTCTTTTTCAATTCCATTGTTCGTGCATTTTACTACCGATTGCGCTTTGTTTCAGTACTTTCCTCATCGGTCTTCTGCCAAAATACATTCTATGTCTGCCCAACACCATATACTACTTATATGGATATAAGTAGACCACACCACACAACCACCGACGTGGACACAAGCTACAATGAATATATGAGTTATTTATCTAGCTAACATCACTAAAGACGTATCAATGAGGGAGATCAATTTGTTCACCCATAAACATAGGTTGGTTGTAAGCACACACGTTTGGCATTACAATCTCTTGGATGAAGTTAAATTCTTTTTCTGTCTAATTCGTCTACTTAGTTATCAAAAGTGCACATATACAAGCTAACTGATCAACGAATTACATAAAGCATAACAAGCATATTAAAACAACTTACATAAGGTGAACGTTCACATAATGTAAGAAATTCCATTAACATTTTAGTATGATAAATCGTTGGATGAATTAAAGATGATGGATTAATCCAATGACGATTTAAATCTTTACCAGACATTGAACATCGATGACTTCGTAGAAGAAATTATGTATGACAGAAGAAATGAAATCAGTCGACTATATATAGTTAATTCAAAATAGAAGTATTATGGACAACCTATGTAACTACAGAACTCAGTAGCTGAGTGGATAACGCGATGGCGTTTGATGAGAAAGATACTGAGTTTGAGTCCCAGAGTGAACATCAACTCTGAGATGCAGGTACATCCAGCTGACGAGTCCCAAATAGGACGAAGTGGTGCGCGTCCTGCATCCCACTGCTAGCCACTATCCACCTTTGCTATAAAATGGTTGAGATATCCATCTACCGAACAAAGAGTGAGTATATTGCTTATTAGTCCGATCTATGAAGGCTTATGAAGGACATTCGTAGATTACTGGGTTTTTTAATCATAAATGTCTTTGAAGCATTCGTTGCAAATGTTGAAGTTAGATGAGTGGTTCTAGGTTAAGAGGATGGATTAATGAGTGAAATAGTGAACCTTTATTAAAATGATAAAAGCGGATTGAAATAATGTTAGAATGAGATGAATAAGAGAGAAATGTGTTTTTGGGGGATGTCATAATAAGACGAACAGAGTGGAAGTTTAAATCGTGAAACTATCTTGTAAAGGATTATTGTTTATATTTTTAATAGTTGAATTCATGAGTCGATTCAAGCTAGAACAGAATCGAAAACCTGGAAGCATTGGATGGCCGTTTCATCCCAGTATAGGACTCCTCAGTAGTGAGCATCCGCGATCTCCCATGCGAGACCTAAACCCATGAACTTCGGTCTCGCGTGCGAACGCTTAACCTATAGACCAATGAGCCCGGCATTCAATCGTTTTAATGTCTAACTTCAATTGATCCATGATCTCGCACAACGCTTCATTCATTGTTTGAGGTGGATAACTGTATTACACCCGACACAGATTGGACTCCACTGGTCACAGCTTCTCAACAGACCTCCAAGAAATACATCTTGAATCAACTTATGAATGCAATTGTTAAAATTACTATAATCTCCACGAATCTCCCATTTAAAGAAGAAACCATCAAATTGAATGAATTGTTTGGAATTTCAAAATTGTGTATGTAGTCACATACTTCAAGTATATTATTATATAAGTTTGAGTTATGATTGGATTGAGTACAATAATGAACTAATCTACTTCCCGTCTTCATTCTCTGATTGGACACTAGAGTTCTAAGGAGCTCGAGGACCAATAAATGTCAGGGTGTTGTTTGTTGTTTACTGATCGATGTGTCAACAGGTTAATAGGTCACCGGTTCTACTGGTAATATAAGTGTACTAATCGATGATCGAACTAGAGCGAGAGGTCACACAGCTAATTTCTTGTCATCACAACCCAATTACACTGAACTCAATACAACCCAAGAAATCTGTTTTTTCCCCATTGAAATAACAGGAGACATCAGTATTCATATTAAGCTGTTCTCATATATTTTTCTATTCTCAAATTATTCAAATTTTATTTCTTGAATGCATCAGTCATAATAATGGTGCATTATAATCCTGTAATTCTTGTATTTGATAAAGTGAATTTTTGAGTTAGATCAATTGTCTACTTTCTATCTTTCGATCGGAGGGCTCAGTGAAGTATCCACTAAGTCATCCCATATCAGGTCATTTAGTCGTAGTAACTTTCAAGCTCAAGTCAGGATCGAATTCATTTCAAACACTTATTATAGTCTACACTTCCAAAGATCTAAACAAACATGATAGTCGAATAAAACAATAACATTTCTGGATAATATAAAGTAAATTTCATAGTTGAAATCACGGATCAATTGAAGCTAAACCACCATGGAAAACCTGGAAGCACTGGACGAATGTTTCATCCTAGTTGGAGACTCTTCAGCCGTGCGCATCCACGATCCCGATGGTGGTCTAACTTCAAATGACTCATAATTTCAACTATATAAAATTACTAAAATATTCACAAACCCCCTCCCTTTCTGAATAATAATTCCCTTGGAAACTAAATACTCACTTTCCAACAATGACACCATCAGGATTTAACATAGGTATTATTTTAAAAATGAACATTTTACGTAATTCATTCATTTTTCTATCATTATTTGATAATAACTGTTCAATTATACCTTTCATGATCCAACTAGAATTTGATTCACCTGGATGTACACGACATGTAAGAATGATATAAGGACGTTGATTGATATTTGTAGATTCATCTAAGTGAGAAAAAAGATCAGATATGAATACAAAATGTTGAGAAATCATGTAAATAAAGAAGGAACTGGATAGTTGTTTTGTTTCAGTATAGGACTCCTAAGAGGCAGAGGGTACCCATAATCAAATTAAGTAATGAACTCATGATCTCTAGGTCTCATAATCAGTGGTTAACCTATAAACTACTGGCTTAGCATTATTCACTGGGTTGCGTTCCAAACTTTAACCTGTTCAGTAAATTGTACAACCATCTTCTTCGGTGTTTAAGTAGTTATTTTTTATTATCAGAAGGGGTTTTATGGAGATTTTGTATTTTCATAGTTGAAAGAGTGAGTCCACCACAAAACCCCTTCTGATAATAATAATAATAATAATCATATGCTCACTAGTGACTGACTTCTAGAGGTAAATCCTGGAGTTTTAGTGAGAAACAGTGACCAGTTGGAGTTCAAACCACGTCTGTTGTGAGATATCAACTCACTGAAAATAATTGGTGAACGGTTGCTCAACTTCGTGGATCACTTGAAGTTAGACATTAACACCGTAAGATGCCGGCTCAGTGGTCTATCGGTTAAGTGATCTGGCGCAAGACTGATAGGTCTTTGGTTCGAATCTCGCGAGTGCAGGGTCGTGGATGCGCACTGATGAGGAGTCTCACAATAGGACAAAACGGCCGTCCAGTGCTTAGAGGTTTTCGATGGTGGTCTAGCTTCAATTGACTCACGCTTTCAACTATAATTATTTGTTCATTAGCAACCTATTTTAAGATGTAATCTACATAGCTCTAATTAGAAAACATCGCTGGTGGAGTTCAACAATGTCGGGCGTTAAGGAATTACCTTTAAATGTCAATGAAATGTGCTTTTACAATACAACGAATCCACTGAAATTAAACATTTCATCTCAGTGGTCCAATAGTTAAGTTCTCACATAGAGAGACATAAAGGTTTCAAATCATATACCTGGATGAATCGTGAATACACACAATCATTTAAGAGTACCATCATAGTATGAAACAAGTGTCTTATGTCTTCTAGTTTTTTTTTATTGGTTGCCTAGTTTGTAAATTGAAAAGTAATTTCTAAGTAAATGCTTACCTGAAGAATCCGGAGTTTGTGTTATTGTAATTAATGGAACTGGATTGGAAAGAATAGTTGAAGTTAATTGTTGAATATGAAAGTAAATCTCATTTGAATGATTCAACATTTTATATTGCCATTTGTTTAAATCAGTTAATAAACGTGTATAAGTATATGGATAATGATAAGCAAGATAGCAAATATCGCCAGTATATGGAAAGCGTATCGTAAATGTAGCTGTATAATACGTTCCACTATCCACATTACCTTGAAAAAATAAGTCAACGAAAGAACAACAACGATGATAAAAGTGTATAATGCAAGTTAATCACTCCATTAGACATACATTGGTTTATGAAGGATCTATTCAACTTTTGACTATGGAGCTCTGAAGTCGTCAGGTTTAGTCACAGATAAACACATTTCCTATATCACAATTGACTGATCACTGGGTGGTGATCATGCATATCAGGTCCTTCTTGGTGCTGATCGAATGCTATCGATTAAGTTGCAATGTGGCCACTAGTCTAGGTGGCTCGACACTGCATGCACTATGTTGAGATGAGATGGTGGTTGGAGTTAGTCAACTTGATCGATAGCATTCGATCAGCACTAACAAGGACCTGACACGCATGACATTAATCACCACCCAGTGATCAATCAATTGGTATTACATCTCAATCCTACAGGAGGTCGGTCACGACCCGAATAGCTCAGTGGTAATGTCTCTGACTGTGAAGCTGAGTGACATGGGATCGAATCTGTCAGGGAGCACCAGTTGCCTCAAGATTTCAAGTACACCTTGCTGACGAGTGGCAAGTAGCACGAAACGCGGCTCCAGGGTTTCATGATGACCACCTCACCAACCACCATCTTAAATTTATTTATTACTCACGAAGGTCTATCTCTACCTGGGATGTTTTGAATGATGCCGGTGTAATTACTTCTCATGATTTTCTAGTTTGTACATAATCGATTGGGTGGGATAGCTAGTTTATACAGTCAATCAATCAAATGGGAATTAGGGCTAATTATAGTTTAAATAAGTATATGTGTGGTGTGAGTTACTTATATCCACATAAGTAGTATATAAAAATTAATTACTTTTTTTATAATTTGCAGTGAATTTAATGCTTAAGGCTCTATCATCAACAAACACTTCCACAAAGAATTATATATACATATGTACTTACACTTTCGAGTTAAGTGTCGAGTAAAATGGTTTCTATAATAAATAATATTAGAACCAACACGTTTCCAGCATGGATGAGATTGAAGTGATTCATGAACTGAGAAAAGAAGAGGCTGCATACCTAGAAATTAAATATATTTAAAAATAGATTTTTATCATCAAAACAAAGAACTATTGAAAGACTTTAATCGGATATTACTTATATACTTAGGCCTATTACCCCATATGAAGGAGAATTGGCAGTCCAACGGGAATCTCCAACCGACTCAGTCTTAGGTTATTTTTTTCAAGTTGTTTTCAACCGCTATTCTTTTTTTCGCTGTCTACTTTCAATCCCCGATGGAATATGTTTTGGTCTTCTTCATTCCTTTTTACATTCAGGATTCCAAGTTAGGGTTTGCCTGGTGATGCAGTTTGGTGATTTCCTCAATGTATGTCTTATCTACTTCCATCGTCCTTCTTTAATTTCCTCTTCAGCTGGAAGTTGGTTTGTTCCCTCTCTCAGTAGGCTGTTTCTGATGGTAGCCGGCCAGTGGATGTTGAGTATTTTGCGTAGACAACTATTTATAAATATTTGTATCTTCTTGATGATGGCTGTAGGAGTTCTCCACGTTTCAGCTCCATACACCAGAACTGTCTTGACGTTCGTATTGGAGACTGTCACTTTGATATTGGTTGACAGTTGTTTTGAGTTCTGTATGTTCTTTAATTGTAGGTATGTGGCCCTTGCTTTGACAATTCTCACCTTTACGTCTGCATCATATCCGTCTTGTTCATCGATGATGCTTCCTAGATATATGAAGGATTCCACATCTTCCGGAGCCTCTCCATCATGTGTGATTGACTTGGTGTTCTCCGTGTTGTATTTGAGGATGCTTTTTTTCCTATGTGTATGTTGAGGCCTACTAATGCAGAGGCTATTATGAAGTCGGGTGTCTTCACCTATGTTGTATGATGTGTGCATGGGATACAAGAGCCGGGTCATTTGTGAAGTCCAAATCTTCTAATTGATTCAGAGCTATCCATTATATTCCGTGCTTCCCCTCAGCGGTGGATGTCTTCATAATCCAGTCATCCATCAGAAGAAAGTAAAAAGTGAGAGTAAACAACCTCTTTTAACATCTGCCTTCACTTAGAATACATCTATCATTTACCCTCCATCCACGGCTTTGCAGTGTAGTCCGTCTTATGAATTCCGAATGATGTTGATAATCTTCTCAGTTTCACTATATTGTTGAAGTTTTATTCGAAGATTCAAAATAATGATTTCATGAGATATTTCTCTAATTGAGTTATACACTATCAACAAATTATAATTGCTGTTCTGTATCACAACTACTTGAGGCCGGTCACGCACGGTCTTTTTATGGAGGATTTTTGACGACGGAGTTACCGTTCTTCAAAGGACCTTACCGCCGGAGACGGAAATCAGTGGGATAAGGCGAAGTGTGCATTTTTAGGGTCGATTATTTCTAACCCCACCCCTTTTTGTGGGAAGGCAGCATCGCTGTTATGCTGGTTGTCTGAAGGGAACACCTTACTACCGTCATACCTCTGTACAATCGGCAGTACGATTTCGCCTTCGGACCTTGGATTAGAGACCTTGAATGACATGGCTCAAAATCGTTTGCAATGGCGAAGGTGCATCCAATCTCTGTTTTCTCCCAATTTATAATCTTCTGAATTCTTCATGTGTTTATCTTTTTCCTCTTTCCAAAGTTATTTCATTGGATTATACTCCTTCAATAACATCTTCAAACTCTAATCTTTCACATTAATGCTTATATTCTTAATACTTCTACCACTATGGGATTTGAATCGACAACTGAATCCCTGTGCTAATGTGGTATGGCAACTCGAACTGATGTATGTACGTACGAAGTTCTACGTTGTGACTGACTGACTGACTTAATAGTAGTAATATGTAAATGTGATTATGTGTAAGTAACATTATATGCTAAATGTATAGTACAGGTAGGAATTAATCAGAAACGAGAACACAACGCGATAATCAAATATCACGTCTAGTGAACAGTCAGAATACGTTTCTATAGTACTCAGAATATTTAAAATGATAACTACTATAGTGGAAAAATTAGATGTTAAACATATATTTTATTTTTTTTAATAGTTGAGATCATGAATCACTTGAAGTTAGACCACCAGTGGAAAGCTGGAAGCATTGGACGGCCATTTCGTCCTACTGTGAGACTCCTCATCAGTGCGCACCCACGTTTCTTAATTCCGATCTTGTAGATTAGTTACAACAAGCAAATTAACACTATCCCTAAATCTTAAACCTAAACCCCATAATTCAGAAACGAACCTTAACCTGTTGTGACATTACATTTTATGGATGGGTTAATCAGATAGATCCGCTTTGATTTTCGTTAGAATTTCATTCATCTATATAGCTACAGAGTATTTTCCTATTTGAACTAATGTTAGCTCATAATGAGAACTCTAATATTAAATCAATGGTCTAACTTGAAATGACTGAGTCTTTTTATAGGTTCAAGAAGATGGATAATCTATAGCCATGTGGATGAGTTTATGGGTGATTGTTTTTCAATTCATAAGCATATTCACTTTAATGAATTCATTGAACATCTACACTTTGAAATATTATTGCTTTTCTTCCATTTAATATCCATTTACAAAATCTGCTTTTTAAATTGCTAAAAAACTGATCGAAAATTTTTCACGGTTGTTTTGAATTCATCCATATTATTATACTCTTATTAATTCAATTTGTAAGCAAAGATGGATAGTGGCTAGTAGTGGAATCCAGTTTGACGCGCGACACTTCGTCCTATTTGAGACTCGTCAACTGGATGTACTTACATCTCAAAGTTGATGTTCATTCTGGCACTCGAACTCAGTACCTTTCGCTTCAAAACGCTATCACGTCATCCACTCAGCTAATGAGTCCTGATAGCCACTTCAATTTGTATATCGTACAGAGATACATGACAACCATAAGATGGTTAAATGTAAGCCAGTGGATATATACAAGTTTGTGTGAGTGTATTTCGGTGTAAAAGTTATTTATTTAGCTGGGTAAGAAAATGAATATACATCTTTACAAGTTATAGCACTATGGAAAAGTTTTCTTTGGTGCTAAATGAACAACAAATTCTTTTGAGGTATATATATATAAATATCACTCAATAATTCAAAACCTGGCCATGTTTAGGAAATATGGCTAAGTGGATAACGCGATAGCGTTTGAAGCGGAAGATACTGAGTTCGAGCCATAGAGTGGACGTCCACTCTGAGATGAAGATACATCCAGCTGACAAGTCCCAAATAGGACAAAACGCTTTCTGGATTTCACTGCTAGCCACCACCGATCTTTGCTTATAATGCTTCTGAATTAAGGCTATATCGAGGCAATACGCACAGTATGCACATATGCCAATAAGAGAGAGACTGATCAATTTCAGTCCTAAACATCAATTAGAAGATTCAACCAAACAATATCAAGTGAATTTAACCAAAAGGTTATGCTGAAATGTGTATTAGAAAAATATTATCCTGATAATCTGTACATATAGGACTCGTCAACTGAATGTACGTGCATCTCAGAGTTCATGTTCACCATGGGACTCGAACTCAGTACCGTTCACTTCAAAACGCCATCGCGTTATCTACTCAGTTACTGAGTCCTGATGTATACATATATAGTTTATATGTACATAAACTAATAACTTACCAGCATTAAATTGACTATCTACTTTTTCACAATTAATAATATTGAAACGATATGATATATTAGATTCCATATTAGATATACGAAAGTAAAACCATTGTATATATGAAGTTGTATTAATATCAGGATTTAATATTAAATCATATTCATATTGACGAACCTTTTGATATAAAAATAAGAAGTAATGAAGAGGCTTGATTAGGAACTTATTTTAAGACGATTGGAGGGGAGAGAGGGTAAGGAAACAAAACAATCATTCACCTATGCATTTACTTACTTATATACGCCTGTTACTCCCAATGGAGCATAGGCTGCCGACCAGCATTCTCCAACCCACTCAGTCTTGGGCCTTCCTTTGTTATTCTGCCCAATTTTTGTTCATTCTTCTCATGTCTATCTCCATTTCTCGGAGTAATGTGTTCTTTGGTCTTCCTCTTCTCCTTTGACCTTCAGGATTCCATGTGAGAGCTTGTATTGTGACGCAATTAGGTGATTTCCTCAATCTGTGCCCAATCCACCTCCAGCGCTTCTTCTTGATTTCTTCCTCCACCGGAATATGGTTTGTTGTCTCCCACAGTAACTTGTTGCTGATAGTGTCTGGCCAACAGATTCGAAGTATCTTGCGTAGACAGCTGTTAATAAACACTTGTATCTTCTGGATAATGGCTTTCGTAGTTCTCCACGTCTCCGCCCCTTACAGAAGAAATGTCTTGACATTTGTATTGGTTGACAATTGTTTTGAGCTCCACATGTTTTTCAGTTGTAGGTATGCTGCTCTTTCTTTGCTGATCCGCGCCCTAACATCTGCATCTGATCCACCGTGTTCATCAATGATGCTGCCCAGATATGTAAAGGTTTCCACATCTTCCAAAGCTTCTCCATCAAGTGTAATTTGATTGGTGCATATTGTATTGTATCGGAGAGTCTTGCTTTTATCTTTGTTTATATTGAGACCTACTGCTACTGAGGCTACCTATGCATTTGCATGCACATTATAAGTAGTATCCTTTTTTATTTAGTAAAATATTAATTATCAGAAAAGGTTTTGTGGAGATTTAGTATTTTTCATAGTTGAAAGCGTGAGTGTGGGATTGTGGATGAGCATTGCTGAGGAATCTCATGATAGAACGAAACGGCCGCCTAGTGCTTCCAGGTTTTCCAAGGTGGTCTAGCTTCAATTGAATCATGGCTTCATCTGTGAAAAAAAATTAGTAAAATATGTTTATAGAGTATATAAACACTGTCGTCTAAATTAGAATGAATAGTTTCACAGTATCTGGGCGCCAAGTTGATGTGAGACATTCAATAGGAAATGTCCTTGAAGAAAGATTGGACCAGATTGCCAGGTGAAACATTGGATTTACTTCAAATTCATTCGCTGAGATTTTACAAATACATATTCTTCCTATTAAACATGTTTATAGAGATAGGTAGATTTTACTGTTTACACTTTGGACAGGTTTTAACTAGACAACCATCGAAAACCAAGAAAGGAATGAAGTTCAATCAAGTTCGATGATTGACAACTGTTTGCTAAAAGCCAACGGAAAATGATTGCGTAATAATACGAATCGACTAAGATTAAAAATGTAACCTATTCAATGAAGGATCGATGACCTAAAGGTCAAAAAATTAATACAAAACATGAAAGTCATAAGTTCGACCTAGATAGAGAAGTCTTGGAAGCTTATCGACGGGAAATCTTACAATGGGACGAAACAGTTTTGAAGTACTTCAAAGTTTTCAATATTTGTCTAAGATCAATGTTTGATGCAAAAAGTATTTTACTTATAATAAATTCATGAGTTTGTTCACAGTTTGGATTACAATCCAAGACTAGATAGGTTTGTAGTGCCATGCTTCGCTGATCGTTCACCTTGATTACCTCGCTTAACCTCCAACTCCAATGGGTGTCATTTTTGTTTCGCTCGCTGATATTTACTCATGTGATTATAACTTTCTGACCTGAGTCATTCGTCAATAAAACTGTATCTCTCGCCTCTCTTTGACTTCTGATTTTATACTTCGTTAAGATTTGTATTATAACGGTAATCGAGGTGGACGATCAGCGAAGCATGGCACTACAGGTTTATTGATGATAAAAGTTTTCTAAAATACGGAACAATGAAGAAATAGAATATTCTTCAAACTTAACATCTAGTGAAAAGAAGACAACAAGCTGTTCAAAGTTACAATCTTTCCAACATCGGAACGATCAGCACTTCACTGTGTGATCATTCTATAATGATTAAATCCATTTTGTCTAGTTACAAGAATATGAGTTCACAGTTAGTTTCAACGTTAATGATAAACATAATATACATTGAAATAAACAGACAAGATTGTAGTTAAAGTCGGAAGGGGTTTTTGTGGAGATTTAGTATTTTCATAGTTGAAATCATGAGTCAATTGAAGCTAGACCACCAGGAAAAACCTGGATGCACTGGACGGCCGTTTCGTCCTATTTTGGGACTTCTCAGCAGTGCGCATCCACGACCTCGACTCACGAGATTCGAACTCAGGATCTGTCAGTCTCGCGCCAGATCACTTAACCGATAGACCACTGAGCCGGCATCCCAAGTAGTTAAGGTGTTTGTCATACAAGATTATCCTATTATAGGCTTTCACAACAGAACATATATATGGGGACGCTAGACCCCCAAAAGTCACTTAATAAACGTCTTATTTTTGTAATTTTACTTTGGAAATTTGAATTTCTCATCCATTTTTACCTTCAGATTGTATTTTCCACTTGGACGGACCATAAATATCATTGGTTCGTTGCATCTTTTAATACGCTATTTTATGACATTTCCCAAGGACCTTTTTATACTGTATATATATGCTTGGTTGTTCGTGCTTCTGCTATCTTGTGGGATATACCTTTCTCCATTTCTGAACCTGGTCTTCCACCTCTAGTTAGCAGGGTTAGGATGCATCGGAATAGTTTAGCGTGTCTTGTCGTTCTGTTGAATCATCAGAAAATCACAAAAATCATTGAATCTCACTTTCACGTAGATACTTGTTGCAGATTTTTTAAATCTGGACGCATAGAGAGATATCAACAATATACAGCTTGGTACATATGTGCGTTAGTCCAAGTTGCCATGACCTGATTAACAAGACCATATGTAAATGGTACAACCGAACAAAATAATATGGTAACGATGATAAAAAGAATGACTCAACCCTAGAAATATACTTTGAAAAGGCAGAGTGAAAAGGTTTTCGTGAAGGGATACTGGAACACAGATGAAAAAATGTTATTCAATTAAACTGACTTACTTGGATTGCTTTACGAAGATTACCACATTCAAAACGAGATTCAAACTCTAAGTGACCTTTTTCAACGTCAAATTGACTAATCCTAAGTAAAAAGAAATAAACATATGATATCATCATGTTATAGGTTTTCAGATCCATAAGTTCATCCACAGTCTAAAAAGATAACATTTCAACGGATACGGTACTGTGGTGTGTGCTACTGATGTCGGCAGGTATAAGTAGTATGTATCATCAATCGAAAATGAAATGCTTGGAGACATAGCCTTAAGAAGATCGAAGAAAAGAGTACGAGAACAGAGAATGATTGGTGTGAAAACCGAAGAAAACTATTGATTGACATTTTGCAAATGACGTGTTTACTGTATGATTCTCAGATTTTACTAAGAGGTTCTGTGATGTCCCTACTTGTGTGTTCTCGTTCACTACTGTACCATAACAATATAGAAGGTATCGAGCCAATAAAAAAAAACGGCTGAATGATAAGTTTATATGATTGGCCTTGAAATGACTTCACATCCAAGGAATAAGTATACACTAATAATGCCTTAGTCTTCTAAAGGATATAAACATATGAATTAGTAAACATACATGTCGATCCAATTTAGTCAATAAACTTCACTCACGTAGACGGTTGGGTTCGTATGTTCGTAGATTTTGTATCAGTATCCAAATTGGACAGCACAAGATCATGAACCGATTATTGTTAGACCACCATTGAGAATCTGAAAGCACTGGACGGCCGTCTCGTCTTAGTATGGGACTCGTGGATTGGTTGAAGTTAGACATCGTTGAATACTGGCTTCTTCAGAGAATAAAATATATTATTTTTCTGTACATAACATTCCACTTATTGTGATTTTGTAAACATATTGTTTTGATTATTAACTAAACCATAGGTTCAGATAAACGTGAAAACATCAACTAGGTGGTCTTCACCTATCAACATGATTCAAATCAATAGTCAATGACTTCATAGATTCACAGCATAGTTACATCCTGAGATTGACGATCGATATCGCGTGTTAAAGTCACCAATCGCAATTCCGATCATAATTTTTTCTATACTACGTATAGTATCTCGGTTATAGCTCAGCGTTCTCGACTTGACCAATTAAACTTCAGACGTTCACAGTTCACGCAGAGCCAGCGCAAACTGAGCTCTTGTTTGACCATCCGTAAGCCCCTCTTCATCTTCTTCTTTGCGTCCAAAGAAAAGACAGGAACCAGACTCTATTATATACTATATTTCAAGCATATGTCGATCTACATATATGGACATACTAGACCATATCACAATTATGCATAAACAGACCAAAGGTGGTTGTGAATAGGTAAAGTTATAATTAATAAACTAGAAAGAACTTAGAGATAACAAGTTGTATAACAGTAGTTAATGAATTAAACGAAAGCTGATGACAAACGGAACATATAAACATTATAATCTGGTCACTTATTACTTATACAATAAAATCGCGCATTGCTGAGGAGACCCACAATAGGACGAAACGGCCTTCAAGTGCTTCCAGGTTTTCCATGGTGGTCTAGCTTCATTCATGATTCATGATCTCAACCATTAAAGTTATGATTGATAATAATTCGAAAAGACAATTACAAAAGTCCTAAGTTTTACATTATTCTTTCCGTTATAACATGTCAGGTCATTTTTTAGTCGCCCCCCCCACATAGTTTTCTTCCAACTACTTCCTGAAACAGCCATAATCGATGCAGGAAGTGGTTGGGCATGTGAAATACATGTCACAGTCAATTATTTGATCACACGAGTCTTCACTGAAAACCATTAACAATTATTCAATCAAATAGTTTATAATGGAATCGGATTATCTGTTTAATCTCATCGTCCCAGAGAACTGTAGTAAACTTGAGTGCCATGAACCAGTTGTCTAGTTGTTAACTGATTGAAAACAGTCGATACAAAACCTTTACTACGTCTAGGTTTTGTGTTACTTGTGATGCGTCAACAGGAGGTACCCTAAGGCTTATGGTAATAAGTAGTTGAATTAAAACTTGATCAATAGAACTCGGTCAACGTTAAAGGATTAATGAAACATCAGACTGATCAATACCTAGTGATCAACTAATGGTAAACAGTTGTTCAGAATTAGCTTCAAGCTTCTTAACAATGTACGCGCATGGTTGAAATATTTTCCCGGTGACATTCATCAACCGAGTATAAAATCAAAATGGGTTATAAAAGCATCAAATTATTTCAGATTTTATGTCAATTCAAAGGTAAATTATCTGGGCAGCATCATCGATGAACATGGTGGATCTGATGCACATGTGAGGGCGCGGATCAGCAAAGCAAGGGCAGCATATTTAAAACTGAAAAACATCTGGAACTCAAAACAATTGTCAACCATACCAAGATCAGAATTTTTGATACAAATGTCAAGACAGTTCTACTGTATAGGGCGGAGACGTAGAGAACTACGAAAGCCATTATCCAGAAGATACAAGTGTTTATTAACAGCTGTCTACGCAAGATACTTCGAATCTGTTGGCCAGACACTATCAGCAACAAGTTACTGTGGGAGACAACAAACCATATTCCGGTGGAGGAAGAAATCAAGAAGAAGCGCTGGAGGTGGATTGGGCACAGATTGAGGAAATCACCTAATTGCGTCACAATACAAGCTCTCACATGGAATCCTGAAGGTCAAAGGAGAAGAGGAAGACCAAAGAACACATTACTCCGAGAAATGGAGATAGACATGAGAAGAATGAACAAAAATTGGGCAGAATAACAAAGGAAGGCCCAAGACTGAGTGGGTTGGAGAATGCTGGTTGGCAGCCTATGCTCCATAGGGGGTAACAGACGTAAGTAAGTAAATAAGTTAAAGGTAAATGACTATTTATCAATTATGAACATTGTCAGTTGAACAAACTCATGCTAATAAATATCAACTTACAATAATTCATCTTGATTCGATAAGTTAAAGTCATACAATGAAGATGACGTAACTGAAGAAGAACAAAGATTATCCTGTTGATGATTACTACTTGTCATCTTGTTACCGCCATCTAATGAACTACTATCTATACTATGATTATTCATTTGTACACAAGAAGTTGGTATAACTTCTTGATATGATTTATTCTTTGATATTGACAAATGTCGTTGTTGTTGATGTTCTTGGAACTGATGACATTGTTGTTTGAATGATGAGAACACTTGTTGAGATGATAATGGTTGGGACATCTTAATTGGATCTTTGTTTGATTGTAATCTAATTAATTCATCTAAATCATATACAACACGATTGATTAAATCATTCGAATCAATGAATCGTCGTACATCGTCAAGGATTTCTGTATGGGGAAAGTCAGATATATGGTATGGTATATGTAATGATTGATCGTTCTTCAGGGATTGATTCATAGTTTTATTCAATTTAACTGATTTAGAAAGTTTGTTCAAATGATGTACAGCAGATTTCGTTAGTGGAATTGGTTCCATTGGATGAATGGAGACATCAGCTACAAAATAAGCATATAATGATAATATGTTTAAAGACTTTAGATAGAAAAAATAAAATATGATGAAAACTGGGATACAAGTATATCCAGCTGATGAGTCTTAAATAGGACAAAACATGCATTCTGGATCCCAATGCTAGCCACTATCCATCTCTGCATATCGAGTCAATACACAGGATATATATATATATATATATATATATATATATATATATATATATATATATATATGCTAAAAGAGATCGATCAATGGCAGTCCTAAATAGCAATGGTAAGATCTAAACCACCTGTTAGCGAGAAATAAACCGGATTACGGCACATTATGTGCATGATTGTGACAGCGCACGCTGATTGGTTAGTTCGAAATCAATCAACTCTGGCAGATTATTGGAAAAGCATCTAGAAGCTTCTTATGCATATACTATAAATATATGAACGTTTTTCTAACGATTGATTGCTGTTCACCTTACCCTTGTTATTTTGAATACAATTTCATTCCTGTTCAACATGTTCTGATCTTTGGGGTCTTGTCGAGTGTCATTGCATAAGAATACTAAGCAATAGGAATAGTTGGGTTGTTTATTGGCAAACAAATTATAACACCACCGATATGTATATATATGGATTAAGGTATCAAAATAGAACTTTGGATAAGAAGTTCTAAGTCAAAACTGTTCAACTTACAATAAACAATAAGCTGTATTCTTTTATTGTAAGCGATTTTGAACTATGGAACATTTGATCTCTATACACTGACTGATTTAATCACCCAGAAGATAATATTCAAAAAGTTGGCATCTTGCGACTAAAATTTAGTGACTCCACTGATAAGTAAGAAGTTCTAATTTTTTTATGTAGTTGAAATCATAAGTCGATTGCAGCTAGACCACCATCGAAAACCTGGAAGTACTGGACGGCCTTTTCGTCCTATAGTGGGACTCCTCAGAAGTGAGCATCAACGATTCCGCTTCGCAAGATTTGAACCCAGGACCTACCAGTCTCGCGCCAGAGCGCTTAATCACTAGACCACTAAGCCAGCATCGAACAGTGTTAATGCATAACTTCAACCAATCCACAGAATTGAGCAACCATTTACCACTGTCTTCAGTGAGTTCTAATTTGTCTGATGTTAATTCTTTCCAGAAAGATTATATTATAGTCAACAATGAATGTTTGAGTAAACATTTAATTAGAATATACTACATATTATCTCATAGTTTGAATCTTATCAGTTTAAGGCCTTAATTAATGCAGGCTTGAGGCAATGTTGGGTCAGAGATCATTGGTTAGTTCGTTTTTTAAAAAAGCAACGCTAGTGGATGGGTTGAGAAGATATTAGATTACTGTGGAAATTTCTTATAAACGATAACGTTTTTTTACAACAGACTGATAGGTCCTGGGTTCGAATCTCGCGAGGCGAGATCGTGGATGAGCACCGCTGAAGAGTTGCGCCATAGGACAAAACAGCAGTCCAGTGCTTCCAGGTTTTCCATGATGGTCTAGCTTCAATTTCAACGATGAAAATATTGAAATCTCCACAAAACCCCCTTCTGATTAAACTTATAATTAGCAAAAACACATACCTTCTTGAATTTTTGATAGATGAACGCACTCATCATCACCATCATTATCCACATCATCATTAACACTTGATGTAACTTGAGATGAAGTAGTAGTAGAATTGTATAGATTTGTTTGTTGATTAAAATATCTCCAAATTGACTGATCCGTCTCATAAAATGGTTCATAATTAATTGATCCATGGGCATCAATTAAATCAGGATATGCGATCGTTTCAAATGGTAATAAAGTTTTTATGATTTGAGCAAAATAGTAATATTCCATGATAGTATTGTCTTTGATGAAAGTGTTATGTTTATTGGTAGTAGGATCTTTGTTTATATTACTGTTAGGATAGTTACCTATTACAACATTGAAATTCAAAAGATAAGACTTTTGTGTAAATAGTTATGTAAACACTATAAGCAAAGATGGACAGTGACTAGCTGTGGAATCCAGGACGCATGTTTCGTCGTCCTATTTAGGAATCCTCGGCTGGATGTACCTGCATCTCAGATTTGATGTTCAATCTGATACTCGAACCCAGTAACGATCGCTTTAAACGCTATCGCGTTATCCACTCGGCCAGTGAGTCCTGATAGCCACTTGTTTGTGCAATAGGGTGAAGTTTGAATCTTCCCATTGATGCTTAGGACGAAACGCGTGTCCTGGATTCCACTGCTATCTACTATCCATCTTTGCTTATAATGCTTGTGAATTAAGGTAATATCGGAGCAATACGTACAGTATGCACATATGCCAATAAGAGACTGACCAGTTGCAGTCCCCAACATCAATGATAAGATTCAAACAAACAATACTAACTGAGTTATGTAAACAGTTGATGAAAAAAACAATGAGAACTTTTTGACATGAATTTTTGACTAATGTGTGATTAGTTAATGGGGCAAAGATTAGGTTTTGATATGTTCCATAGTGGATGATATTAGAGAACTCTGATTGACTCAATGAATGGTGGTCTGTTGGTAATGGTCTCTTACTTAATCCATCTAAATGATAAGCTGTTAACTTTAGCCTGAAGACATGGACAGCATCTATACACTATTTTGGGATCCCATAATTCTTGTGCCATTGGAGACTCCTTGATAAACACATTGTCCAAGGTTAATTATCTTGGTGTTACTTTTTCCTCTGATCTCTCGTGGTCTTCTCATGTTTTACTGTTATCGAAAAATGTTTACCGTTTGACTTACTACATAAAGAGGCTGCATGCCTTTAGGATTACTCGCCATGTACTCTTAAAACTTGTCAGTTCCTGCAAATTACCTATTATTGCTTGCTATTCATCGTTATTCTTTCTCGGGCTTTTGAAAAAAGACTTTACTGTACTGTAGAGAGTGCTGAAGGCAGTTTGCAAGGTGTGTGGCGAATCTTTTGAAGTCATTATTAATATGCTTGTGGATAGACATTTTAAGTTATGCAAACTTCAGGCAGATATTATCTTATCAAATACTAACCATTCACTTCATTCATATCTTTCTCCTTGTATAACTTCTGTTAGAACGAGACGTAAATACACTTTCATTCAACTTAGTTTATTTGTAATATAATTAGATACCTTCCATAAGTCGTGTTTTGATTATCAGGACTAATCAAGTGAAGTAAAATATTTGAAGCAAACTCAATCAGTCAGTCAGGTACAACATAGGACCAGGCACATTTATGCATCGGTTTAAGTTGCCATACCTCATTAGCACAACAAGATAAACACCAAATTCATAGAAATAGTTAATTTAATGGTGATAGTATGTAAAGAAAAGTTGTATATAAGGATATAGTATAGGTAGAAAGAAAGATATAAAGCAATTTTAGTCTTAAGGTTTAAGGGAAGATAACGAGTGTATACACTTGCGGCATTGTGATCAATTCTGAGCAATGCCACCTAGAGTCTCCAACCATTGGTTACGATGGTCGCGCAGACCCCAACCACGTAGTCTGCATCTACCATCAACATGGCTCAGGCTAGAAGTTAGTGACTTCAAGCAATGATGCCACGTTTTAGTTTGGCCGCCCCCCTAACTGAAGAAAACTAAACCAAAATGGTATCTAAGAGCGGATAACAATAAACTTAACAGATGATATTATCATTTTTTTGAAATAGTAACTAAGGTAAAAGTAAGAGTGACATATATAGACTGATAATGTAATATAATGGGTAGAATTGAATATTGATTATATGCCTTATATAAACTTTTTCTAGTTCAAATAAACAATTGTTTTTTTATTATTTAGAACTATTTAAGGATAAAGATTATAATACATAGATAGGTAACAGATAATATTCCCTAGTCATATGAATACTGTCAATTGGTTAATGAATCGTATTTAGTGAGCTATCTGTCAATCAGTTATATACATATAATCAACATAGGGTCTGACACTAATGTTAGATACAAGTTAATACTCCATAATAATGTAACGAGATGAACGTAACAAGGTCAAAAATAAAGGAATGAAAATAATGTAGTGGCAACGATGAATTGAAACAGTGAACATTGTGAATATGATATGAATGAACATAAAAAAGGTACGTGTGGAGTGATACTATGACATAAGATTGGTTGAGGTTAGATATTAACACCGTTGGATTCCGGCTCGGTGGTCTATCGGTTAAGTGCTCTGGCGCGAGACGTGTAAGTCCTGGGTTCGAATCTCGTGGATTGTGGATGCGCACTGCTGAGAAGTCCCACGACAGGACGAAACAGCCTTCCAGTGCTTTCAGATTTTCCACCCCCGCCACGAGAAGTTAGTGAGTAGGACTTCCCTATCAGAGGCTATATACGCGTGGCCATGTGAGAGCATTTCGAGAGGGAAAGCGGACTCTCCCCACTCTTGGCCGTACTAGGGCATTCGGGGGAAACTTGAAGAACAAAACCATGAACGCAATGTGACCGAATTGTTTAAAATTTATCACCTCATCAACCGATGTATCATCTTCGCCCAGTACTCTATCTATAAACCGAAAGTTTGTGAATTGGTCATTTCAGTATATGTTATTAATGCTTCGGGGAGACCCATACTGAAATGCCTGCACCCTAAATGTATCTTTACAGATCATGTTTCACGGTCATAGAGTGTGCTCGCCTTTTGCTTGGTAAACGGACATTGCACCTACTCCACAAGTGACACAATCTAAGGATCAGTCCAGTAACATGTTTGTACAGGATCTTGTATGGCGTGATGCCTGTATGAGTTCGTCAATCAGACATATGCCACCTAGAACCTGGATAAAATGTGCATCGGTTCAATCCACTACACACCATATTAGAGTAATCAAATGAAAATTTCAGGACATATCCCAAGGTAGCAAATTGATTATCAGAAGATTGGTTATTAACGATTTGATTTGAGAGGAATAAATTGATGGGATAAAAGTTCATAAGACAATTTTAAAATTCAGGGTCCAATTGATGATAAAAATTGAGTGTATATGTGCCATTGCTAATGATTGCTAGCCAATTCATGCAGCGTCTCCAACGACTGGTTAGAATTGTCACATAATTCCCAATCAAGGAGTCTTCATGGACCTACACTACCTTTCAGTTTGGCATCCGTCAGCTTTCTTCAAACGTAATTCTACACTAGCCAACATCTGACGAAATGTGCGTCTAGTTTTAAGACAAGTTAAACTGGATTGAAATATACGTCTTCTACTTCATTATAACTATAATTTCTTCAGCTCTCTTCAATTTGTAACGAAGGTCTCAAAGATGATGTATATCGATACAAAAATCATAACCAAAAAGGAATATCAGTGGAAAAGAACTTACATTCATAAGGCCAATTGACAGAGTTCATATCCAATGGTTTTTCAACTTGTTCTTTCATCAATCTATTTGGTATTTCCTGTTAATAGTTATCGGAGTAATTTTAAAAGAAGCAAGTTATTAGGTGTTTAATGATATGGAAGGTAATCAAAAAAGAATGAAATGGGGTAACACTAAATATCTATACTCAATTGGGATGTAAGGTGGGTGTAGTCATCAAGAAACCGTGGAATGACCTGAGTTTTATGCAAGTTAGCACTCATCAGCAAGGTTCACCTGTAATCTTGAGAGAGTCGGTGCTCCCTGGCAGACTCATGTTTAAAGACGTTACTACTGAGCTGTTCCGATCGTGACTGACCTTCTGTACGACTGATATATTTAAAATTAATTGGTCACTGTGAAATGATCAACTTTGTGTATGTACAAACCTTTCTGACGAGCGCCAACCAACCCGAAACGCATAATCAGCCAGGGTTTACTGTCAACTACTTTCAACAACTTAACATGTTGGCATAGTACACGTGATATCAAATCACTTAGACAAATGGTCACATTACGATGAGATCAGTAGAATACGATCACCACTAATTAGTACTATAGAACTATGATGAATGATTCATTAAGGAAGGTCAAATAATTGAAGCGACCTTAATGTTGATTGACTAGTTTCGAGTTATTTTACCTCTACAATTAAAAATAATAATTCATTATTGTAAAGTGATCAGAAAAAGATGAAGTGTCAGCTATGATACAGATGGTGAATCTTTTAGTTAATTTCTTCAAAATTAATTTGTGAATATGTGTATTTTGATGGAGTTTTGTTCTCTGAGCTGGATAGTTTGGTCGTGGAGCTTTCATCGTCCTTCTGAACGACATCATCAGCACAAACTTCGGGTAGAAGTATTATTATTAAGTTTGATTTTAGCTATTTTCTCCTTAAAATCAACCATTAACAATTCTAGATTATGAAAAGGAATAGTAGGAATTGAAGAAGAAGATTGATTATGAATACAGTGGTTTTGAATGCTCTTAGAGGTATGAGGGCAGTTATAACTTCCCGGTTTCCCACACCGTGGAAGGGTTCTTCTAGAGGTACCTGAAAAGGAAATTGGGTTAGAAGTGGTCTTAATGACCTGAGAGCGTAACCGCAGTGCCCAAGGGACAACTGCTTGAGGTCGGTCACACACAACCTTTTTGTGGGTAGTTTTTGTGTTAGATCTGTTCTTCAAAGGACCTTATCGCCGGAGACGGATATCCGTGGGGTAAGGCAAGGTGTGCATTTTTATGGTCGACCTTTTCTAACCCCAGCCCTCCTTGTGGGAAGAAAGCATCGCTGTCATGCTGATTGTTTGAAGGAAACACCTTACTGCTGTCACACCTCTGTACAGTCAGCAGTACGACTTCGCCTTCGGACCTTAGGTTTGCTGCTTTTAGTCTCACCGCTCTTTAAACGACCTGCCTAGAATGGTAGGACCTTGAGGAACGATTGTTCCAGCCAGTATAGCTCGATTGAATCATAACGATAGGCAAGCCCGACCACCACGTCAAGGTAGCAGCAACGGTCGGGATAATTCTAGATAACAAGGTATTAAACTATTTAATGACCCGAATTTCAACGAACTGATATCAGATTCAAAATAATCACTAGTATACCGGGAAATAGAATCAGATATGAAAAGAATGAATAACAACTGGAAAGGATTACCAACGATAGGGTTGGATGGAAAATGCTGGTGGGCGGTCTATGCTTTTCCACGAGGGTTAACAGGAGCAAGTAAGTAAGTAACTTCAATCTAGTCACCTATTTAATATATTTTCAATTCCTTTATCTACAGCACAGTTGGTTGTTATTTTATTTTCAGTATGTATTATAAAGGAGCGAATATTGAAAAGCAAAGATGGATAGTGAATAGCAGTGTAATCCGGGAAGCTCGACACTTTATCCTATTTGGGACTCGTCAGCTGGATGAACCTGCATCTCAGAGTTGATGTTCACTCTGGCACTCAAACCCAGTACCGTTCGTTTCAAACGCCATTGCGTTATCCGCTCGGCCACTGAGTCCTGATAGCCATTTGCTTGTGCAATGGGGTGAAGTTTTAAATTCACTTGGTATTGTTTGTTTGAATCTTCCCATTGATGTTTTAGGACTGCAACTGGTCAATTTCTAAGTGGCTATCAGGACTCAGTGGTTGAGTGGATAACGCGGTGGCGTTGGAAGCGAAAGGTACTGGGTTCGAGTCCTAAAGTCAACATCAACTCTGAGATGCAGATACATCCAGCTGATAAGTCCCAAATAGGACTCCATAACCTTATAATGATGATTATTATGTGCTCACTAATGACTAGCTTCGAGAAGTCTTTCTCAGAATTCTAGTGAGAAGACGTAACCAGTGGAGTTCAACCGTGTTTGTTGCACGGCAATTACTCACTGAAGACGTTTGAGGAGGTTATCAGTCTGATAGGCATAAAGCAAGTTCATAATTAACCGATTCTATCGTAAAGCAATCTGGTCCAGCAAGGAATATAAAAGTGTAAGTTCGAACAGAAAAAACATCACTTACACTGGGTAGATCAAACCATTCAGGGAAAAATTTTAAATGACTTGAAATTAATTCATTGAATGTGTGTCTTTGACTAGTTGTTGTAGAATCCTCGGGTTTAGTTACATTAAAATCATCATCACCATCATCCTCATCATCATTATCATCTTCGTCTTCCACTTCTTCTTCTTCGTTGTCATCAACATCATCACCATCAATATTCTGAGTATTCTGTTCATTTATATCAAATATTTCTGGTGATGTTAATGATGTATTAGATGAACTGAGCAGTTGGTATGAAATAGGTTTATCACAGATAACGGGCAATTTATCTTTCTTTGTATAGTTGAAATCCTGTTGAATCTCAGGTTGATTCGAACTTTCATCTTCTCCTCGCCGAAGAATCTTCACTTTCTGTATACGACAGAATTTATTCAGCTGTTGTGTATTTGGTAATTCTGTACATGATTGACTAATGAATAATTTATTGAATTGTTTTGATAAAGGAGGGTGAAGAAATGTGTCTATCGATGGATTGTACGACTGGTTTATTGTATACAGATCGGTTATTGATTTACTATGAAGATCTTTGGAATTCAGATTGGTGATTTTAGGTACGTTTTTACTCTAGAAATACACATGTATATAGAACAGAATTCAACGTCATAAAGTATTGAAAGGTCGTAAATTTGCTATCAATATCAAAATACTTACTTACTTACTTACTTACTTACTTACTTACTTACTTACTTACTTACTTACTTACTTACTTACTTACTTACTTACTTACTTACTTACTTACTTACTTACTTACTTACTTACTTACTTACTTACTTACTTACTTACTTACTTACTTACTTACGCCTGTTACCCCTCGTGGAGGAGCATAGGCCGCTCACCAGCATTCTCCATTTAACCCTGTCCAAAGCAATCTTTTCCATTTTTTCCCAGTTAACATTCATCCTTTTCATATTTGCTTCTATTTCCCGGCATAATGTGTTCTTTGACCTTTCTCTTTTCCGCTTCCCTTCCGGATTCCAAGTTAGGGATTGCCTTGTAATGCACATTGGTGATTTCCTTAATGTATGTCCTATCCACTTCCAACGTCTTTTTCTAATTTCCTCTTCAGCTGGGAGCTGGTCAATATCAAAATAAGTAGTTCCTATTCAGGTTTCGGTGATGTCAGTATTCTGCTGTTTCCTGTCCAATTCTGATACGGATAAACAAACTTCCTATTTATAAATAAAAACTAAATAAAAACTTCCTATTTATTAACCCAGTCGGCTATTTGAATGAGAAGGAAGCTTTCCATTGACCATTCCGAATATTCATCGCTTAGGTATTTTAGAAGCATTTTTCCGTTAATTGGATTAATCTGGAGGAATGGAAAAAGGAAGCCATATCTTGGCCAATCACATGTGATTATCAACAGGACGATATCTGATTGGCTCTATGTGTCACTAGGATGCTATAAAGCTATTGAGGTAAGATGGTGGTTGGAGGTGGTCAACAGAAAACCCTGGACCCGGGTTTCGTGCTACTTGGGACTCGTCAGCAAGGTGTACCTGTAATCCTGAGGGAACAGATGCTCCCTGGCGGATTCGATCCCGCGTCACTCAGCTCCACAGTCAGAGACGTTACCACTGAGCTATTCGGGCCGCGACCAACCTCCTGTAGGATTGAGATGTAATACCAATTGATTGATCACTGGGTGGTGATTAATGTCATGCGTGTCAGGTCCTTGTTAGTGCTGATCGAATGCTATCGATCAAGTTGACTAACTCCAACCACCATCTCATCTCAACATAGTGCATGCAGTGTCGAGCCACCTAGACTAGTGGCCACATTGCAACTTAATCGATAGCATTCGATCAGCACCAAGAAGGACCTGATATGCATGACATTGATCACCACCCAGTGATCAGTCAATTGTGATATAGGAAATGTGTTTATCTGTGACTAAACCTGACGACTTCAGAGCTCCATAGTCAAAAGTTGAATAGATCCTTCATAAACCAATGTATGTCTAATGGAGTGATTAACTTGCATTATACACTTTTATCATCGTTGTTGTTCTTTCGTTGACTTATTTTTTCAAGGTAATGTGGATAGTGGAACGTATTATACAGCTACATTTACGATACGCTTTCCATATACTGGCGATATTTGCTATCTTGCTTATCATTATCCATATACTTATACACGTTTATTAACTGATTTAAACAAATGGCAATATAAAATGTTGAATCATTCAAATGAGATTTACTTTCATATTCAACAATTAACTTCAACTATTCTTTCCAATCCAGTTCCATTAATTACAATAACACAAATTCCGGATTCTTCAGGTAAGCATTTACTTAGAAATTACTTTTCAATTTACAAACTAGGCAACCAATAAAAAAAAACTAGAAGACATAAGACACTTGTTTCATACTATGATGGTACTCTTGAATGATTGTGTGTATTCACGATTAAAAATGACATTTAGGATCTCTTTGATGACTGTTATTCAGAAGTATTTGATTGGTAGACAATGTAACTAAACGAGAGTGTTTCATTAATGATTAAATATCAACGGAATAAGTTATGTATTATTATTTTTATGATTGATGAAGGAACTTACGCCTGTTACTCTTCATGGATAAGTAAGGGCAGCCCATCAGCATTCTCTATCCAACTTTGTTCTTGGCAATCCTTTCCAGTTTTTATTGATGCTTTTCATCTCTGCTTCCAATTCTCAGGACAGCGTGTTCTTGAGTCTTCCTTTTATCCATTTACCTTCCGGATTCCAACTAAGCGTTCGCTTCATGATATAGTTTGATGATTTCCTCAATGTATGACCTATCCACTTTCAATGTCTTTTTCGAATTTTCTCTTCAGATGGAGGTTGGTTTGTCCTCTCCCACAATAGGCTGTTGCTGACGATATCTGGTCAACGGAAGTTGAGTATCTTGAGTAGACCATTGTTTTTAGATATGTGTACTTTTTTGATGATGGTTGCTGTCGTTCCCCAAGTTTTAGCTCTATACAGTAGGACTATCTTGACGTTCGTATTGAAGATTCTCACTTTGATATTGGTTGACAGTTATTTTGAGTTCTATATATTCTTCAGTTGTAGGAATGAGGCCTTTGCTTTGACAATCTTCACCTTTACGTCTGCATTAAATCCTCCTTGTTCATCGATGATGCTTCCCAGATACGGTGAAGGATTCCACCTTTTCTAGATCCTCTCCATCAAGTGTGATTGGATTGGTGTTCTCCGTATTGTATTTGAGGATCTTGCCTTTTCCCTTGTGAATGTTGAGGCCTACTGATGCAATGTTTTCTGTTACACTATTTGTCTTCACCTGCATTTGTTCGTGTGTATGGGATAGAAAGGGTTAGCTCATCTGCTTGTTAGCTAATGTTAATAAAAGGTTATAAACATGGGTTCAGTCCTAGTTTTCGCTCGTCATTGTAACTATACTGCTTCAGTTCAGAGTTTTCCTTTGGTTAATCTTAGCATAATGTTAAAATGTGGCATATGGAGTAAAACCTGAGCTCATATGAACAAAATTCTTAAATTTTATTACATCTTAAGAATCATCACTATCCATATTTGCTGATAAAGCTTGTGACTTCAGGCAATACTGAGGTAGTCCGCACAGGATACACATATGCCAACAAGAAACTGATCAATTGCAGTTCTAAACATCAATAGGAAGATTCAAATAATCAATACTAAGTGAATTTAAAACTTCACCCCATTGCACAAGCAAGTGACTATCAGGACTCAGTAGCCGAGTGGATAACGCGATGGCGTTTGAAGCGATCGGTACTGGGTTCAAGTCCCAGAGTGAACATCAACAAGTCTGAGATGAAGGTACATCCAGTTGACGAGTCCCAAATAGTGTCGCACGTCACACTGGATTCCACTGCTAGCAACTATCCATCTTTACTTACATAAATCTGTTTCAATGTTATTAACCAAACAATCAAATTATACAATACAAATGATTTATAACAATCAATTACAACTTACCAATGATGCTCTTACCATTGGAGAATTCAGTTTAGATGTAATTCGTTTATTTTGAATCCTTATTGATTGTTTCCTCTCATCGGTTAACTTCTTTCGGGTAATTTTAGGATAGTAATGATGATTATCATTACTATTAATAGTAGTAGTATTACATAATAATTTAAAATAATCAGATGATATTGGATTCACTAGTTTGGATAAAGATTTTCGATTGATGGTAAATTTGATTATATTATTAGTAGGGGAAGATTTGTGCGAGAGTGGTGTTTCATGTGACCTTGAAAAGTGTATAAATAAAAGAAAAAGAAAAAAAAGAAACAAAATCATGGAAGGATAAAGGATAGAAAGATTAAAAAGGGATAGGGAATATATGTATGTGTGTGAGAGAGAGAGGGAGAGAGAGGGGGGAGATGAGTGAATAGGTAGTGTTTGTTTTTTTACAGTAAAACATTTACGAAAAAAAAGAAAAGTGTAAAATGTACTTTTTTTCATTTATTTATTTATTTATTTATTTATTAAAAGAAATAAATATTATGAATGTATCCACTAGGTATTGCTTGTTTCAATCTTCCCATTGATGTTTAGGACTGCAACTGGTCAGTCTCTTATCGGCATATGTGCATACTGTGCGTGTTGCATAGATATAGCTTTCATTCATAAGCATTATAAGAAAAGATGGATAATGGCTAGCAGTGGAATCCACGTCGCGCGTTTCGTCCTATTTGGAACTCGTCAGCTGGATGTATCCAGAGTGAACAGCAACTGTAAGATGCAGGTAAATTCAGTTGACGAGTCCCAAATAGGACGAAGTGTCGCGCGTTCTGGATTCCACTATCCACCACTAACCATCTTAGCTTATAAATTTATTAACGGTCCATTATTCTAACAGTAGAAATAATGCACGTAAATATGGGTGCTTTTCGGGTAAATGATATTACTGGATTATGTTAGAATCACAAATCGATTTAAGTAAGACAATCATTGACAACCTAGAATATCCGTCTGGTCGTCTAATTTTATTAACTAACTTCCAAAGGAAATTAACGAATTCTAGTGAGAAGTCATGAACTCCGCCTGTAGCTCTTCTAGAGTTACTGCCGGTCCCAAGCCCGGGTAAAGGAGGAGGGTTGAGCATGGGGTTAGCGACCCCATCCCGTAGAAAAGCTAACTCGCTAAAAAAACGCTAACCAGAAAAAATAATTCAAACCATTTAAACTCTGCTCTGGGAGTTGAAGGAATAATTATGACGTCTCATGATGAAAGCCGAAATTCTTCGGAAGTCACGAGACCGATGCACCTTCTAACAACCAGAGCAACACTCTTTATAGGTACATGGAACGTCCGGACGATGTGGGAGACAGGAAAAACCAGCCAAATAGCAATGGAAATGAGAAGATACAACTTGGCAGTACTCAGAATCAGCGAAACCTATTGGACACAAACTGGACAACAAAGGCTAGGTACAGGAGAGATGCTGCTGTACTCCGGTCACGAAGGGGAAAATGCTCCACACACTCACGGAGTTGCTCTAATGCTGTCCAAAGAAGCACGAAATGCACTTGTGGGATGGGAATCTCATGGACCAAGGATAATCAAAGCATCATTCAGAACAAAGAAGCAAGGGATCAAAATGAACATTATCCAATGTTATGCACCTACCAATGATAGCAACGACGATGATAAAGATCAGTTCTATGAAAGGCTGCAATCAATTGTAGCAAAGTGCTCACGAAAGGACCTCACAATCCTGATGGGAGATCTAAATGCTAAAGTTGGAGTGGACAACACAGGATATGAAGATGTAATTGGACGACATGGACTAGGAGAAAGAAATGAAAATGGGGAGAGACTTGCAAACCTATGTGCATTCAACAAATTGGTTATAGGCGGCACAATATTCCCACACAAACGTATACACACAGCTACATGGATCTCACCGGACCACACCACAGAGAACCAGATAGATCACATCTGTATCAACAAAAAATTCCGAAGATCAATGGAAGATGTGAGAACCCGGAGAGGAGCTGACATAGCTTCAGATCACCACCTGGTTGTGGCCAAGATGAGACTGAAGCTAAAGAAACACTGGACAACTGGACAAACAGCACTACAAAGGTTCAATACAGCCTTCCTTCGAGATACTGACAAGCTCCATGAATTCAAGATAACTCTCAACAACAGGTTCCAAGCTCTACAGGATCTACTGAAAGAACAAGAAACTACTTTGGAGGACAACTGGAAAGGGATAAAAGAAGCACTAACTTCAACGTGTCAGCAGGTTCTTGGTCCTAAGAAGCATCATCACAAGGAATAAATCTCTATGGGAACCCTGGACAAAATTCAAGAAAGGAAGAACAAGAAACTAGCAATTAACAACAGCCGAACACGAGCAGAGAAAGTCAAAGCACAAGCAGACTACGCAGAAGCAAACAAGCAAGTGAAGAAAAGCATTAAAGCCGACAAGCAGAAATACATGGGAGAACTAGCAACGACGGCGGAAAAAGCTGCAAGAGAAGGCAATATGAAACAACTATATGACACAACGAAGAAATTGGCAGAGAGATATAGCAAACCAGAGAGATCAGTCAAGGACAAAGAAGGAAAGACAATCACTGAGATTCAAGAACAGAGGAAAAGATGGGCAGAATACTTCGAGGAACTGCTGAATAGACCAGCCCCATTGAATCCACCGAACATCGAAGCAGCCCACACAGACCTTCCAATAGATGTCACTCCACCAACGATCGAAGAAGTCAAGATGGCCATCAGACAAATCAAAAGTGGGAAGGCGGCAGGACCTGACAATATACCAGCAGAAGCACTGAAGTCAGACATTGAAATAACTGCAAACATGCTTCACCTTCTATTCAAAAAGATTTGGGAAGAGGAACAAGTGCCAACGGACTGGAAAGAAGGATATCTCATCAAGATACCAAAGAAAGGAGATCTGAGCCAATGTGAGAACTACAGAGGCATCAGTTTGTTATCAGTACCAGGAAAAGTTTTCAACAGAGTGCTGCTGAATCGGATGAAAGACGCAGTAGACGCCGAACTTAGGGATCATCAGGCTGGATTCCGTAAGGATCGGTCGTGCACAGACCAGATTGCGACACTACGGATCATCGTTGAACAATCAGTTGAGTGGAACTCATCACTATACGTCAACTTCATCGACTATGAGAAGGCGTTTGACAGCGTGGACAGGAGAACATTATGGAAACTTGTTGACACTATGGAGTTCCTGAAAAGATTGTCAACATTATCCAAAACTCATACGATGGATTACAGTGCAAAGTCATGCATGGAGGACAGCTGACAGATGCGTTTCCAGTAAGGACTGGAGTCAGACAAGGCTGTCTACTCTCCCCATTTCTCTTCCTTCTAGTGATTGACTGGATTATGAAGAATTCGACATCTGAAGGGAAATACGGAATACAATGGACAGCTCAGAATCAATTAGATGATTTGGACTTCGCAGATGACCTAGCCCTCCTCTCTCATACACACGACCAAATGCAGATGAAGACAGCAAATGTAGCAGCAGCCTCCGCATCGATAGGCCTCCACATTCACAAAGGAAAAAGCAAGATTCTCAAATGCAACACGGAGAACACCAACCCAATCACACTTGATGGCGAAACTCTGGAAGAGGTGGAAACATTCAAGTACCTGGGGAGCATCGTTGATAAACAAGGTGGATCGGATGCAGATGTAAAGGCGAGGATTGGCAAAGCAAAAGCAGCATTTCTACAATTGCAGAACATATGGAACTCAAAACAACTCTCAACCAATTTCAAGGTCAGAATCTTTAATACGAACGTCAAGACAGTCCTACTGTATGGAGCTGAAACGTGGAGAACTACTACGACCATCATCAGGAAGGTACAAGTATTTATAAACAATTGTCTACGCAAAATACTCAACATCCACTAGCCGAGTACTATCAGCAACAGCGTTTTATGGGAGAGGACAAATCAGCTTCCAGCTGAAGAGGAAATTAGGAAAAGACGTTGGAAGTGGATCGGACATACATTGAGGAAATCACCAATGTGCATCACGACTCAATCCCTAACTTGGAATCCGGAAGGGAAGCGGAAGAGAGGAAGGCCAAAGAACACACTACGCCGGGAAATAGAAGCCCATATGAAAAGGATGAATAGCAACTGGAAAGAACTGGAAAGGAAGGCTCAGGACAGAGTTGGATGGAGAATGCTGGTGAGCGGCCTATGCTCCTCCACAAGGGGTAACAGGCGTAAGTAAGTAAGTAAGTGAGAAGTCATGACCAGTGGAATTAAATCATGTTGGATGTGAAGAGGATGATCTCTGAAGATAATACAAGTTGGTCACCCAATATCGTGTATTGGATATCGATTCACTGGTCTAGAGGTGAGGAGTCCACACGTGAGATCAAAGGTTCTTACTTGAATACTTGGATTGGAAGTCTTGGATGCACATTGTTGAGGCATCCTGTACTGGTGTGATACGACCGCCCAATGTTTCCAGGTTTTCAATAGTTTGTTGTTTGCTTGTATCTTCCCATATTTGTTTAAGACTGCAATTAATCAGTCATTTGTTGGCATATGTGCATACTGTGAGGATTACCCCGATATTACCCTAAGTCACAAGGTTTTTAAGCAAAGATGGATAGTGACTAGTAGTGGAATCCAAAACGCACGTTTCATCAACTCTGGGATGTAGATTCATCTAGCCGAAAAAACGAGTCTCAAATAGGACGAAACGCATCATGTATCTTTGCTTATAACAAGACATCTATTAGATTTTTCGTTATATATTTATTAGAAGGTGCATCGGCCTCATGACTTCCGAAAAATTTCGGTTTTCATCATGAGGCATCATAATTATTCCTTCAACTCTCAAGGCAGAGTTTAAATGGTTTGAATTAATTTTTTGCTTAGCGTTTTTTTAGCGAGTTAGTTTTTCTAAGGGATGGGGTCGCTAACCCCATGCCCAACCCTCCTCCTTTACCAGGGCTTGGGACCGGCAGTAACTCTAGAAGAGCTACAGGCGGAGTTTCATATATATTTATTACTATCTTGATATATCTAAATGAGAAGTCTTACATTATAAAATTAAATCTACAAAAACATCAAAAGGATACTTACTTCTTATTCGAATTCGAAGTTGAATTCATATTAGTTGAATAAGATATTTGTGGATTAAATTTAAATTTGGCAGCATCTTTGATGATAAATGTATATAAACAAAAGAAATTAAAAGTCAAGTTCATTTGAAAATAAACAACCACATAAGATATGTTATGTCACGAATAAGGATAATGAATGGTAACTATGGGATCTATTTATGAACTAATACTATGTATATAATTTCTATCGTATAATTGCTAAATAACTGGACTATTCATATTCATATTCCTCTATATTGTGAGCTTTATTTTGACTTATGAACGATTGTCATACGATTTACCGTTGTTGAGTTATGTCCTGTCTGTCACTTACTATGTCCCCAAGTTCATAGCCACTTTGGATTGAATCTTGTTATTTTCTATTTCATGGTACGATGTGGTCAGTCTGTTTGGTATATAAACCCAGTATATGTGAGAATAATGATTCGTATTGCAGAGTCTGTTATTCATATTCTGGACTTAACAGGCTAAGCTAGGTAGAAGTAGGACCGACAAATGCTCTAGACTGCTCGTATGGGTTTCGTGTGTCACTGATCCAATCGATAATTCGCTGCTCTCTGATTGGCGATCTTATCACGTTGAACATTAACAGAACATTCACTCGGTCACGGGTTATAACAAGATATTAAAATATAAAATTGAAATCAGAATGGGGTTTTGTGAATATTGTAGTAATTTTTAATATTTGGATTCATGAGTCGATTAATACCTAGATCACATCATGGAAAACCTAGAAGCACTAGACAATCGTTTCATTCTAATATGCGCAATGTGCATCCACGATCTTGCATGACGGACTCGAACCTAGGTTGTCGGTATCACAGGAGAACGCTTAACCTCTAGATCGCAGGTCCTGGGTTCAAGTCCCGCGTGCAAGATCGTGGATGCGCATTGTTGAGGAGTACCATACTAGAATAAAACGATTCTTCAGTGCTTCTGGGTTTTCCATGATGTCAGTGGATTTGTAGTTCATCCATCTTTCAACATTCCATGTGTACGGTACCATACATTTCTGAGCATTTTCCCGTCTACCTAGTACGTAACTGATGCATAAAAGAGCATAGTTTTCACTGTTGATTTTATTTCAAGGCGTAAAATTTCAATGTTATAACTAGAAAACTGGCTATGCTGATACTGTTTTAACTGATTAGCCAACTAGTAAATTTGAGCATTCATCGCTGTGATATACATAGCATTTCTGTTTAGCCCACAGTCTTACTGCTTTCACTTGACAATCAGGAACCACTGAAATTCCTCAATCCTATTGTTCTTACTGAAGAAGGTGGCGCTGTTAAAATCTCCACGACGCAAATTGAGAACATGAGACTAGTGTAATGAAGTTTCATTGACTTCTCAAAGACTCGTTGTCAAACAAGTCCCATAATCGTATCCTCCTTAAGCCACAATACAATCATTCATAAATCAAACTTCACACACACACAATAACGTCACACAAGGGAGAAATACATAGAGTTACTGTAATAAATACGGAATACAGTTCACCTAAATTAATACAGGGATGAGAGTTTAAATACGTCATTATTAGCGATTCCATAAAATCAAAGCAATTAAAGAATAGATTCAATCTATAAGCCACTGAAGGATCTAATTGTCTACCAGACAAGGGAGATAAAAAGGACTACTATGATAAATTAACACAAACTAACATACTGGGTTTTTCTGTTTCAGGTGAAGCAGACGTATCTTTTCTATACAAAAAATAAGGCAGATGAAAAAAGAACACTTAATGAAAGAATATAACAGACAAGATTATTCTATCTATCAATATGATTCATTTAGTATTGTTTGTTTGAAACTTCCCATTGATGTTTTAGCACTACAACTGATCAGTCTCTAATTGGCATATGTGCATACTGTGCGTATTGCCTCGATATAGCCTTGATTCACAAGCATGGTAAGCAAAGATGGGTAGTGGCTAGCAGTGGATTCCAGGGTGCGCGTTTCGTTTTATTCGGGACTCGTCAGCTGGATGTTCCTGCATCTCAGACTTGTTGATGTTCACCCTGGGACTTGAATGGGACGAAATGCGCTTTCTTCCATCTTTACTTATCAATGTGATATTATAGCTATTACTTAACTACTCAAGTATCGATAAGTGATTGATTCAAATGTGAAATCACCATTCCCTGTCGAGGCATGATGAGAAACTAACAAGTTACTAAGTATCTGGAATCAGTCACATGAACGTTTGAGATGAAGGTGTACCAGGCTCAAATCTTAGTGCGATCATCAACACTAGGATGAAGATAGACTCAATTGACGAAACCCAGATGGAATGAAATGCGCGTAGTGTATTCCGCCTGTAGCTCCTCCGGAGGCTACTGCCGGTCCAAAGCCCAGGTAAAGGAAGAGGGTTGGGCATGGGGTTAGCGACCCCATCCCGTAGAAAACAAACTCGGTTAAAAAACGCTAACCAGTAGTTCTTATTTAGTTAGTATTCCAGTGCAAGCCATTACACTACCAGTCCTCTCTTTGTAGAAATCATCAATTAAGGAATTACCAAGGTTAATCAACAACGATGTGTTATACATATTATTACTAATCCTAATGAAAAGAGGTTTGAATTGCCGATTTGTTTGTCAGAACTACGATGCAATCAAACTGAATATCTATTCATACTTGAAAAATAGGCACTTAAGATCACGAACAGACCTAGATATTTGTTTTGTCTGATAAAAGTACTTCTCACTAGTGTCCATTGACGACGTATTCAAAGAGATCTGAGGCAAGGTACTTCAGGTCTCATATCGAACGTTCAATCTTTAGATCACTGAGTTAGTATCCAATGATTTACATGAATGAACTCAATCGATTTGCAATATTGTGAGACCACATTTCATTGTCTTCCGAAGGCAACTCCCTCTTATCTGATACAGTTAACCTCACCTGGTTATGGTTTTTCAGCAGAACTCTAGGAATTACCTCATAATCCCCAATGGGTTCGCGGTTACAAATTACGGAAGAAACTTATAGCACGACCAAATAAATGCTCAGTGGTTCTTGGTTTCTCATAGATGTCAAAATTCGGTCATTCCATGATCTTATTAACATTGAACAATCTCAACAAAGCCCAATATTGAAAATAAGCACTTTAGAATTGGATGGAAAATTTTAACTTAACAAACAAGGTGTTTGTAGACTCACTGAATCGGTGACTCTGAATTTTGACGTAACAACGAAGTCAATGATGCATCTAAAATAAATAAATAAATAGAACTTTAGAGGAAAGTTAAAGTCAGTCAGCTACAACGTAGGACCAGGCACACATATTCATCGGTCAAAGTTGCCATACCTCGTTAGCACAACAAGATGAACACCGAATTCATAGAAGTAGTTAATTTAGTGGTGGTAGTATATAAAGAAAAGTTGTATATAAGGATATAGTATAGGTAGAAAGACAGATATGAAGCAATTTAATCATAAGGTTTAAGGGAAGATAACGAATGTGTACACCTACGCCATTGTGATCGATTCTGAGTCATGTCACCTAGAGTCTCCAACCATTGGTTACGATGGTCACGCGGACCCCAACCAGGTAGTCTGCATCTACCATCAACATGGCTCAGACTAGAAGTTGGTGACTTAAAGCTCTGATGCCACGTTTTGGTTTGGCCGCCACTAACTTTCTTCCAACCATCCCCTACACTATTCAGCATAGCGCGTCGTGGTAATCGGTGTTCAGACATACATAATAATTGGCCGGATGATTGATTTTTATTGTAAAGTATTTTCAGTAATCTCGTGAATCCTAATCTTGTGAATTATATAGATTGATATGATGATTGACGAAATGTACCACAAAATAATTGGCTATTAAAGTTTGGACCATGGTTAACTACTGCTTTTCTCATAGTCTCAATGTTATAAGGTCGATCCTTAGCAAGATCGTGGATATACAATCGTGTGAAATGGTTTCCTTGGACGAAAAATGGCTATCTCCAGCAGTTCCTAGTTTTCAACAGTTGTCTTGCTATAATTCGTTTCAGATGCAAACCATAATATTCACGAAAATTCATGAAAATCATTTACACTAAGAATAAAATAAGATTTCCAATATTACACAAAATTAGTAATGGTTAGGGTTATTCTGTTTTATATAACAAATTGCCACTCAAAATCAAAGGTACTGGGTTCGAATCCCGGTGTTATTATTTCTCTTATTACGACCCAGCTATTCCTATTGCTTAGTATTCTTGGACACTAATTCAGTCGACAAAGTCCCCAAAAATCACAGTACGGTTGAACAGGAACGAAATCACATTCCAAATAACAAGGGTAGGAGGAAGTATGATTAACAATAAGAAACACGTTATTATATTTATAGTTTTTACATGTAAAGATTCTAGAGTCTTCTCCAAGTATCTACTAACGCTAATTCGTTACAAAATAGCCAATCAGCGTATCCCAACACAATCCTACACAGAATACGCTTTAATCTAATCTGTATCTCTCTAATACTCGAAAAGGAACATCAACCTTACAATGCTGGTAAACATCTAGTTTTGTATAGTTGAGATTATGAGTCTATTGAAGCTAGATCACCATGGAAAACCTGAAAGCACTGAACAGCTGTTTCGTCCTACTGTGAGACTCCTCAACAGTACGCATCTATACTATAAACAAACTATCACTTATCTCAAATTCAACTACATTTTCTATATTATGAATATACACAAAGTATAAAATAATTCCATATTTACAAACCATTAGATGGTAATAAACAATTAAGAATACTTTCAGCATTGATTAATGGTAAACTACATCTTGGATTACAACGACGTAATAATATACATGTTTGTATTAAAATTTTAATTGGATCCAAAATGATTTGATCTTTTTTATGAATTCGATTTGGATCATTATCAATTATATATGATGGATTCACTTTTCTATAATTGGTTTTATGAGATAAAGTTGATGATGATGCTTTTTCTATTGATGTTGAGGATAATGGTGCTTCTTTTGCTGGTGTTGACGATGATGACGATGCTGCTGATGCTTCTTCTGCTGGTGTTGACGATGATGATGATGATGATAATGATGATGGTAATTTGATGGTCGATGAGTCAATATTATGGATAGGATCCATTGTAGTTGTTGTTGTTAAGTGTGTTCTATTTTGTAACTGATTATATTGATTAATACTTAGATTTAGTTGTTCATTATAATGAATAGAAGATTTGATATTCTTGTATTGTGAAAACATCTTTAATAAAATATCATCATTAGTTCGTTTTAGTGGATCAGGTCCTATATAACCAATACAAATAGCATATAATGTATAAAGTCCACCGGATTTCATTAAAGCTTTACGTCCAGAATCTAGAAAGATGTAAGGTTAAAACAATACTATAATCAGAAGGCGGTTTTTTGTGGAGATTTCAGTATTTTCATAGTTGAAATCATGAGTCAATTAAACATAGACTACCATGAAAAACTTGGAAGCACTGAACGGACGTTTCGGTTAAATGCTCTGGCGCGAGACTGGTAGGTTCTGGGTTCGAACCTCGTGAAGCGAGATCGTGGATGCGTACTGCTGGTCCCACAATAGAACGAAACGGCCATCCAGTGCTTCCGGGTTTTCCATGGGGGTCTAGCTTAAATTGATTCATGGTTTCAACTATGACAATACTATAATATAACGATGATTATAACTATAATGAATTATACATGACATTTATGATTCAATACAGAAAACAACAAATCTACTGTTTCGGATATTGATTTATCATCAATGATCTTCAACATCAGAAAATAACGTATATGAGATGGTGGAGAAGATTTGTAGCATAGGTGGGTGATTGTGATGGACGATGAAAGCTCCACGATCAAGAGAGAGAACAAAACTTCATTACAATAACGTATATCGCTAGAGTGAGTTGCTCAATCTAGGTTTCATGTTTGTTAAGATTTGTCAACAGAGCATATACGTGATCTTGATGCTTACTAGAAGATTCGAACTTGATTTATTCTGTTCTATCTTTTGATAAGCTTTCAATGAGCTATTTGGGCTGCGGATGATGATAATTGACTAATCATTGAATAGTGAACAGTGTTAAGTTTATCTAGTCCTTTAATATTGATTAAATTATATCGATAAAGTTTCAATGTGGTCACTAGTTCCCTCAAAATTTTAAATCAACTCTGCTGATGAGTGTCAGCTAATATGAAATCTTAGTACGCAGTTTTCCTATAGACTAGTCCTAACATTTTGACATATCAGTCAGAAACGCGCGATTTCAAATCATTAAGACTACTGACCACATTACAACTTGATTCTTAAAATTCTATCATTACTGAAAGAGTAGATAAACATATCACAACTCAATAAGCACTCAATTACATCCAATGTACAGATATATTATAGTAATTTTAATAGCTGAGATCATGAATCAATTGAGGTTAGACCATCATAGAAAACCTGTAAGCACTGAACAGCTGCTTCGTCCTATTATGGAACTCCTCAATAGTGCGCATCCACGATCCCGCCTTGAGAGATTCGAACCCAGGATCTATCAGTTTCGCGCGCGAGCGCTAAAACTCTAGACCACTAAGCCGGCATCCAACGGTGTTAATGTCTAACTTCAACCAATCCACGAAATCGAGCAACTATTCACCAATTGTCTTGAGTGAGTTACTATCTCTCAATAAACCTGGTTGAACTCCACTGGTTATTGTTTCTCACTAAAACTCCAGGAAATACCTTATGAAGCTATTCACTAGTCAGCATATGATCATTATCAGAAGGAGGTTTTGTGGAGATTTCAACTATATAAAATTACTAAAATCTTCACAAAATCCCCTTCTGATAATGATAGACATATATAAAAACACTTTGTTTTTGATTATTAACTTGATCCTTCATATAATATAGTAAGATGTGTTACACATTCTATACTATCGAAATACTTTCTTTAGATTTCACTACTGATACAAGTAACAAGATGAATGAATAAGGTAAGTGTAAACACTAAAACTTTTTATTTTTATTTAAACACACAAATATTGGTACAAAGGGGCATCAGATATATATGCGCCACACAAATCTCATTCGATTTGTGTGAGGGCTGTGATACTGTCATGGTGCCCAAACTGAATCAGGTGGTTTTCTTAGGGAGCCACATATAGAGCCTTTGACCTAAAAGTCTGATCCTTAAGGCAGTGGAGCATCGTGAGGAGATGCAGTCCCATGATAGCCGGTGACCAACGATTGATTCATACGCCATTTGTTCTCTCAGGATCCTGGAGTCCATATACACCATTGGTTTTGAATCAGGGTTTTCCAACTCCCCAAGATGGACCCTCCGTGTTCACCAACCCGGTTAAAGCACTGGATATTCACTTTTTGTCCTCCCACTTTCGTAAACAACAATAATGCCACGAGAAAGAAGTGAGTAGGACTTCCCTGGCAGAGGCTATATACGCGTGACCATGTGAAAGCATTTCGATATGGAGAACAGACTCTACCAACTCTCGGCCGTACGAGGGCATTTGGGGGCAAAACACTCCAAAAGAAACTAGCATACATATGTAGTAATATAAATATATTCATCCAACAAAAAAGACAACAACTTTAAATTACGTATTCCTGTCAATCGTTTTAAACAATTCAATAAGCTTCTCTGTAAATCAATCCAATCCCAATGTAAATCACATCGATGTATATCAAGAAATAAATCCAGAAGTAATGGAACTGCATGATTATTATTAGCACGTATAGCATTATTTTCTGTTGAAGAAAGAAAAAGAATGGAGTTTTGACGACGACGACGACAACGACAACAACAATAACAGAAATAATATTAAAATTGACATATTGAATGATAAGCCTCTATTTCAAAATATCTACTACTTGTTTTGTAAAGTGTGTTAACTGATATCGACAGATGTAAGTAGTATGTATTATTAATTGAAAGTGAAATGCCTGAATGATAGAAGATTAAGAAGATTGAAGAAAAGAGAATGTGAACAGTGAATGATTTGTATGGAAATGAAGGAATAATAAAGTCTGAGACAATTGACTGATATTTGGCAAATGAAGTGTTTACTGTATGATGCTCAGATTTTATTAAGAGATTCTATAATTTTGTATTTAAATACAATCGGTTATCCTCACTTGTGTTCTCATTGGCTACAGTGTTATATTAACTAAACATAGTCAATCGGTTACAACGTAGAATTTGTACGGGTGTACATCGGTTCAAGTCGCTATATTCCATTAACACACAGATACAAAACCGTTAGGCAAAATACCAGAACAGTAGAGTTATCTTATATTCTGAAGAGAATTATGAATGGTACCTTTTGAGAACTATTTATGGATCAATGGGATACGTATATTTCCTATTGTATAATTGTTAAGTAACTAAACTATTCCTATTCGTGTTCCTCTTATTATTAGCTTTATTTTGATCTATGAACTATTATTATACGATTTACCATTATTGAGTTATCCCCAGTCTATTAATTAGGGTCCTCCACATTCACAGGCCACTTTAGGCTGAATCTTGTACAAGTGTTATTTGGCATTTTGTGGTACGATGTGGTCTGTCTTATTGGTATATAAACTCAGTATGTTTGAAATAAATGATTCATATTGCAGAGGCTGTTATTGGTGTTCTGGACATAACTGGTTGAGCTAGGCAGATAGCAGGACTGACAGGTGCTCTAGACTGCTCGTATGGGTTTTGTGTGTCACTGGTCCGATCAATAAATCGCTGTTCTCTAATTGGCGGCATCGTCACGTCATACATTAACTAGGCACACAGGCAGACTACAAGATATAACAAGTTAGTAATAGTATCAATGGTAATACAAAAAATTATGCATTGAGGAAAGGATTCGGAAAGTAAATACAATTTAGCGATATGAAAACGAAGAAAACATAAGAAATCTAAAATCTCAGGATTTGTTGGAAAACAAAGAATGGATGCATCTGCGCCATTGTAAACGATTTCGAGCCATATCATTCAAAGTCTCTAATCATTGGTAATGGTAATCACGCGGATCTCAACCAGGTAGTCTACACCTAATAACACGGATAAGTCAAACTGTTTATGGGCTGATACCATGTTTCGGTTTGGTATTGATTAAAAATGTATATTATTGAGTTAAATTCTTTATCACTTATGTAAGTATAATTTAGGGATGAACCTGAAACAACTATAACGAATTTCTAATCATATCTCAGCCAATCAGAAAACACTCTATGTAAATGGATAGCTTACAGAAAAGAAAACGATAATATTGCAAAGTATGAATCGTTTTTATGTAACTAATGAATGAAGGAATGAATGTCTTCCACAGGTTACTTTACCTACAAGTCATAGAAATAACGACATGTCAATTCGTTATTATGAATATAGATTAACAATTTTCTTAACCCTATAAAAGGTTCAAAAAAGATCCTCATAGAATCCTCATATTGTTACTAGTTTGAATTAGATATTCAGAATAAGGGTTATATGTTTAAGTTTGTGTTATTTCTTGTGGCCAAATGGATGCTTAGTTAATTTATGACGTGATAAGACCGCCAATCATAGAGCAGCGAATTATCGATTGGAACAGTGACACACGAAAACCGTACGAGCAGTCTAGAGTGCTTATCGGTCCTGCTTCTGCCTAGCCCAGTCAGTTCAGTTCAGAACACCAATAACAGCCTCCGTGGTATGAATCATTGTATTTCAAACATACTAAGTTTATATACTAAACAGACTGACCACATCGTACCAATAAAATAGAAAATAACATTCATACAAGAGTTAGTCAAATGTGGCTGTGAATGTGAGGTGACAGTAATGAATAGACTGAGTATAATTCAGGAATGGTAAATCGTACAATAATAATCCAAGGGTCAAAATAAAGCTCACAATGAAAGGAACATGAATATGAATAGTTTAATTATTTAGCAAATATCCGACAAGATATGTGATCTGATTAGTTAATTAAATGGTTCGGGCTAGAACTTGAGGATAGTATCGAATTCTTTGTTCATTGCAATTTACAGAGACAAGATTGGGGATTTGGTACGTTGAACATCATTTAAAATGTTTTAAACAGCATGCAAAGGTACTTCTACTTCATAGCAACACACCAAAGACTTTCAACTTAATATTCCAATCAAATATAGAAATGTAGAACTATAGATTGATTGAAATCAGACATTGACACCGTTAGATGCCAGCTCAGTGGTGTAAAGGCTAAGCGTCAGCATGCGAGATCATGAATGCGCACCTCTGAGGAGTCTCATATCACGACAAAATGGCCTAGCTTAGATTGACTTATGATTTCAACTTTGCTAAATACACAAATAGACTTACTATATTTTATAAGACAATACAATGTATTCACTAGAAGACGAAGTAATTTGACATTATGTTTTACCCCGATAGCAATTAACTTAGGTTTAGATGTAATGAACGACCTGATTGAATTGATTAAATTAGGATTGTTAATTGAATGAAATTTTGTAATCATATGATTATGTAACTTGGTTGATTCAGCCTTATCATTAAGAAATGACTCGTTTTCATTTTGATAAAGATATTTTAGCAATGCTTTCATTGATGCCATAACAATGACAATATATCTTACTGGACTGTTGATAATCAATTCATTCTCATTCATATTGTTATCACTTGTTCTCAGTGTTGGTGATGACAACTGACTATTATTATAGAGATGATTACGGTATTCATTCATTGGGTTTCTAGTTGCTTTCATTGAATTATATGCAGGAGTATCAGTTGGCGACACTGTCGTCTTTCTTGTTGTTGTTGTTGTTGTTGTTGTTGTTGCAGTTGACGGCGACAATAATGAGTTCATCGTAGACGATTTCCAATATATATGTAGTCCAGATAATAAAGCAATTAATTGAATTAATAGTTTTATAACACCATTACGTCCTAATAAATATGAATTTGTTTTACCGCCATCTGATGCATATAAACAAGTCATATGTAAAATAATATTTAAATTACGTCGTATAACGGATGAAACCGTTGGCATAGTTGTATGATGATGATGATTATGTAACATTTCATTTATAGTATGAATATGTTTAGCATTACTTTGAAAAGAATCTAAATTCATTGATGAATAACAGAAGCTGAAATCGGATAGGTTCTTTAGATGTTTATCTAATCTAGAAGGAGTTGTACGTATCGATGAATTTAATAGAGCAACCTATGAATGTATAAGAACAGTAGATTTGGAAATAAGACGTAATGAATGTATCGAAAGAATCATCAATGAATTAAACAGATTGTTACTCGGTTTTTTAAATGATTAGGTAGTTGTACACAGGACTACTCTATTAAAAATTGGTAAACCTGACTTGTAAAATTGAACCAATCAGAAAAGAACAGGTCATTTCAAGGTCACAGAGTGTATACTGGAACATAGTGGTGTCCAAAAAGAATTATCCACTAATGTCATAAGTGAACTACTATCTCACAACAAACCTAGTTCAGCCCCTTCTGAGTAGGTACTCAGTGAGTAGCTTCAAGAGGTATTTGCTGGAGTTCGAGTGACAAGCAGTGACCAGTGGAGTTCAACCAGGTCTGTTGTGAGATAGTAACTCGCTGAAGACACTAGTGGATGTGTCGCTCAATTTCGTGGATCGCTTGAAGTTAGACATTAACACCATTGGATGCCAGCTCATTGGTTTAGAGGTTGAGCGCTCGCGCGCGAAACTGATAGGCCCTGGGTTCAAATTTCATGAGGTGGGATCGTGAATGCGCACTGCCACTGAGGAGTCCCACAATAGGACGAAACAGCAGTTCAGTGCTTCCAGGTTTTCAATGGTGGTCTAGCTTCAATCGACTCATGATCTCAACTATTAAAATTACTATAATATCCACAAAACCCCTTCTGATATGAAAGAGAATTAATTTTAATAATGATAACATTATTGAAAATTTAAACTAGGTTAACGAATAAGCGACAGGTTTTAAGATCATGAGTTTAGATTTTGTTTTAAAACTTGGTATTTAACGCCAGGACTATCATATATAGACAACTTTTGAACGATTATAAAGTGGCCGTAAGAAACGTCAATCACTTACACTAGCGTCAAAAGAGAGTTATAAGTTATATTGAAGAATTAGAACTAGACGTAACAGTTAAGAGTTAGGGATAGAAATTGAAGTTAGAGTCTTCATTAGGTATAATGCTAAAATGTTACTTATCCATATAGATGAATGGGTTTTATGCAGAAATACAAAAGTTTCTATCATAAATCTAATTGATTCATCCATAAGTTTTAAATCGGCCGCTTTCTATTTAGAAATATAATACAACAGTAGGGGTTTTGTGGAAACTTCAGTTTTTTCATAGTTGAAATCATGAGTCAATTGAAAATAGACCACCAAGGAAAACCTGTGTTCGAATCTCGCGAGTGCAAGATCGTTGATGCGCACTGCTGAGGAGTTCCATAATAGGATGAAACGGCCGTCCAGTGCTTCCAGGTTTTCCATGGTGGTCTAGATTCAATTGACTCATGATTTCAATTATGAAAATAACTAATTTTCATCAAACCACTGAATATTTTGGCTTATCTAACAGATTCATCAAATCTTATAAATAAGACAGTTATTCAAACAAAAAGTTTTATGAAAATTAATTGTTTGTTAATAAATTTTTGCATACGTGCTACTTATATCGACATAAGTAGTATATAACGCTGATGAGGAAAAAAATGTCTGGCAGCTGAAGATCGAGAAGAAAAGAACAGGAACAGAAAGCATTTGGTATGGAAACAAGAGAACAGTGAAGTTTGAGACCATTGACTGATATTCACATAAGAGACAGTCAAGTTTGAGACTATTGGTTGGCATTTTGTAAATGAAGTATTTACTGTATGGTTCTCAATTTTCACTAATTTTATTTATTTATGTTTAAACACATAAACATTGGTACAAGAGAGCACCAGATATATATGTTCCACACAAATCTCATTTCATTTGTGTGAGGGCTGTGATACTGCCCAGGTGCCCAAACTGAAGCACGTGGTTTTCTTAGGGGGCCATACTCGGAGTCTTTGACCTAAAGATCTGATCAACAAGGCAGTGGAGCATCGTGACGAGATGCAGTCCCATGATAGCCGGTGACCAACGATTCATTCATACGTCATTTGTTCCCCCAGGATACTGGAGTCCAAATGCATCACTGGTTTGGAATCAGGGTTTTCCGACTCCTCTAGGTGAACTTTCCATATCCACCAACCCGGTTAAAGCGCCGTACATTCGCTTTTCGTCCTCTCACTTTCGCAAACAACACCCCCGCCACGAGAAGGCAGTGAGTAGGACTTCCCTTACAGAGGCTATATACGCGTGGCCATGTGAGAGGATTTGGAGAGGGAGAGCAAACTCTTCCCACTCTCGGCCATACCACGGCATTTGGAGGCTGCGGTCTAGTGGTTAGTTTTTACTAAAAGATTATTTGAATATGTGTTCAAATACATTCGATTGTCTCCACTTGTGTTCTCATTCACTATGTAACAAACAGTTTGTGAAACATTTTTATCTTTTATTTTTTGGTCATGATTTCGGAACTCTTTAATAACTTCTATAGACCATTCTTTTTAGATACAATGATGAATGAGTTCTCAACGATTCTATCAATCAAACTCTAATGCTTAAGAATCTAAAACTAATTATTAATACAGAGTAACAGTACTTCATGTTCACTAACGAGTGGTAAGGAGAGTTTAGATCACCTTGTGTTATTTAACTGGTTATTATTGCTTTTGGTTTTCTGATTATGTTACCGGTAACAAGTTCATTGTATATTAATATTATCAACAATTAAATCTTTTATTAGTGTTTAGAATCTAAAGCTATCCTGTAAGTGCAGTCTTATTCACCTCATATTAGAGTGTAGATTATTAATGCTAAAGTATTGTTGTGTGTCATTTTTAGTTATATCGATTTCGATATAGTACTTATTCGTATTGTAAGGTGGTGATAGGAGGTAGTCGATAGGAAACGCTGAACCGAGGTTTCATCCTATTTGGTATTCTTCAGCAAGGTGTGTATGTAGTCTTTAAGGGACTGATACTCTCTAGTTTATTCGATCTTATGTCATCCAGGTTCATAGTAAGAGACGTTATCACTGAGATATTTGGGTGGCGACTGACCTCATGGGTTACTGAGACTTATTCGCAGAAGGTCAGTCGCATCCTGAATAACTCAATGGTGACGTCTCTGACTGTGAGGTTGGATGACATGGAAGCGAATCCACTAGGGAGTATCAGTTCCATAAAGATTACATACACACCTTGATGATGAATGTCATATGGGATGAATGCTCAGTTCAAGGTTTCCTGTCGACTACTTCCAACCACCACTTTACATCATAACATAGTCCATGTGATGTCAGGCCACCTAGACCAGTGGCCATATTGCAACTTGATCTATAGAACGCGATGAGCACTAAGAAAGACTTGACACTGGTCAACACCTAATAATCAATCAATTATAAACGCATTCGTATAAGAATAAGCTCGATCGTTCGTAAATGGTAAATATTATAGATTCAACAGGAATTCGTTCTTAATCGTTTCTATTCAGATTTAATGGTGAGAATATCTATTTACCACGTACTTTAAGAATTGAATATTCAGTTGTGTTTTGGTCAATATTAGATTTCCATTCAATACCAACAAAACCCAAGGATGACCTTATTTCAAAAGAACCAATAAACCATTGGCAACAATCCATCTTTTCTAAATAACTTATGATGAAATAGACATATCAAGCCAATCCGCATAGGATTCACATATGCTAAGACTAGTAACATTTTCATCCTGAGTATCCGGAAAGGATAATCCAAACCCCCTCGAATGAAGATGCAAATATCATATCCACTGAGTAGGCTGATGAATCACTGAACTGAATAGTGTAATGAACAATGCATTGAGCGTTTGGAGTGAAATACACTGAGTTTAAGTCCCAATAAGGACACTGACACTTAGAGGCGAGTAAATCCAACCGACCAGTCTTAAACGGCACAAAACATGCGTCCTAAATTACACTGCAAGTCACAACTCATCTCCTAAACGTGAGTAGCTTAAGGCCATCATTAATGGTTATAAAATGCATAAATATTATATAGGCAAAACAAAATAATTCGCACTGACTTGAATTCTTAGTAGATGGATTGTAATTGGAATACAATGACTCAGTCTTGCTCGAATACCAAAACGTTTATCCATCGGACCAAGACGACAGAGTAACTAAAGTTTCATAAAAACTGTTCATTTCAGCACATTATGATTGTTAATAGAACATATTATCATTTCGTAACTAAATTAAGGCAACTAACTAATTAAATAAAGAAAAGCGATCAATATGTGACAAATATTATGAGACATTTGGAAGAACTTGAAAACATAGTGTTATATAATGCACATGACTTTGAGTCACTCAGAACTAGTGGACAAATTACAAACTAATCGACAGAATTCGATTAACACTAAATGACCAGACCAACACAACATTTACTGATCAAATGGTTATGACTACTTCTCAATTCTACAGAAGGTCAATCTTGATCCAGGTGGGTCAGTGGCAATACCTCAAACTGTGAAATTGAGTGAGGTAAGTAAAGATCTGATAAGGAACACTAGTTCTCTCAGGGTTACAGGCATAGATTACTGATGAGTGTCATATAGCATGACACAGTTCTAATGGAACAGGACAGTAGGTAATAATACCACAGTCACTGAATCTTATGTTGAGAAGATGAAATTGTCTTCAATAAAACCAACTATACCAATCACGAACAATATAGGGGTCAGTCAACATACTATAAACTAAGATATGGCTTTTGTTAGTAAAATGTTTTGATGAATAATTACTTATGTAGATATATGTGACAGCTAAGAAATGCTGTCAGAAAAGAAACATGAGTGTCTTGAGAATATTTTAGGAACGTAGTCAAGTTAAGTCCAATGTGGTTATTAAACGTCTAGGAATAAACGAACGCGAAAATATCACTTTGATGAAAACGTTGGTACGTCTATTAAGCATATTCGGCGACTAACTCATTGTCATACCACCTTGATTAGTGATTTGTTTTATAAGTTAAGTTCAATGACCAAAGTTTCTGTTTGGTCGCGTAACCGTATTTCGATTACCGAGTGTACGTTCACAGAGAGATGTAGTTTAAAAAGCGTTTGATGATTTAACTACATTGCCTTATAACAATATTAAATTCTAAAAATGGTTGCGGTTACTACATTTAGCGAGGAGTATTTTGAACATCATTAATACACAACATACAAAAAAATCTTACCTGATGTATTTTCAGTAAAAGTTCAACATTTGGAGTTTCTTCTGAGTATTCCGTGTAGAGGGCTTGAAACAGAGCTCTAGTAATCCCCTTTTGGATTAACATTGTAGTCCGGGATTGGGATGCTTAAAAACAGAACAATTTTTTTATAATAATTATTGTGAAAAATGTCAAACATATTATTTATGACGAAAAGCATTCAGTGGTCTTGAGTGCTGTTAAAGGTATGAGGGCAGTTACCACTTCCCGGTTGCCCACACCGTGGAAGGGTTCTACTAGAGGTACCTGAAAAGGTAATTTGGTTAGAAATGGTCTTAATGACTTGAGATCGTGACCGCAGTGCCCAAAGAACAACTGCTTGAGGTTGGTCACATACGACCTTTTTGTGTTAGCTCCGTACTTGTTGGGACCTTACCACCAGAGACAGATATCTGTGGGTTAAGGCAAGGTGTGCATTTATAGGGTCGACCTTTTCCAACCCCACTCCTTCTTGTGGGAAGGCAGCATCGCTGTTATGCTGGTTGTTTGAAGGAAACACCTTACTGCTTTCACACCTCTGTACAGTCAGAAGTACAACTTCGCCTTCGAACTTTGGGTTTGCTGCTTTTAGTCTTACCGCTCTTCAACCGACCTGTCTGACATGGTAGGACCTTGAGGAACGATTGTTCCGGCCAGTATAGCTCGATCGGTTCATCACGATAGGCAAGCCCGACCACCAAGTCAAGGTAGCAGCAACAGACGAAAAGCATTGAATATACTAGATAATTTACTAGCAATTAAATAGTTTGATCATTGGTTTAATCAGTTTGTAATATTATCTATAAGTAGTGAATACGCATCTATTCATAGTTATTGATTCATGTACAAGATAAACTGAACTTTTTGCAGTAAATTTCACAAGTTTAAAATATCAATCAAACCACTGAGTCTTAATTCAACTCTAAAAAATGAACGTTGTCTTTAAGGAAACTGAGAGCACTGAGTTTAATTTTACTTAAATTGAAGGTATGCAGCACTGATGAGTTTTGAGGAGAATTAGACAAACTCTCCGGTATTCACCAGTTTAAAACAATCTTTGAGTGGGCATGAATTGATTAAAAAAACCTACTTTTATTTGTTATGCAATTCTTTAAAAAATATTGTCATTTAACATGTCACCGACTAACTAGGCAGTATTGAAGCAAATCGGTAATAAACAACTATCTGACGGCTAAAATAAACTTTGGTATTTAGCAAAAATATTACAACCTATAATTGTTTGAACAATAATCGATATATCTGTTAAATGAAGAGATGCACAGAAGCAAAAAAACTACTGAAAATTTCTATGCTTTCATATAAAAGTCGGAAGAACATACGGCCTGAAGAATCAAACTGAAATAAGTCACAACCACCTTACACTAAGATTCGCGAAGCGATTTGAGAACTTCCAGAAACTTGAATAGAGTGCAAGTGAATACTACTACTGATTTAAATATTTAACGAGTGCATGTTTGAGAATGTTTCTGAAACGAAAACCCACAGCTAACCAAAAAGCAAATAGGTCATTTTCGTGACGACGTCACATGATTTTTATGTTCAAGTTTTAAGTCATCAGTTTAGATGAGTTGTTACGAAGTTCTATGATACTATATATCAGCTTGTGTGAAAGTGCATTAAAAGCAAAGTACATCAATATGCATAGTAAAACCTGTTGGTTCATTCAACTAGAAAACGGTAACGGAAAAATGACTGTAGTAACAGAATTTTTCATAAATTTATACAAACCATGTACATGAGATCACTAAAGAGTGGAACGAAGCGTCCTCTACATGACTGAATACTTAACATGAAACTGGCAAATTATAAACCCCAAAAACCTTAAATCATAAGAAGGATAAGAGACAAATTCATGATATCAAATATATGATAAATTGAGACTGATTATCTTATTAGTTGGTGACAAGTAATTTATATAATTTCGAATCCATGATGAAAATTCTCATTCACCAAGTACATTGGAACAGTGTGGCCACACTAAGTATGAAAAGTAACGAAACGACCCCTACGTCTAAACCAAATAAATAAACAGGAATGAGGTGCATAAAAATTAAGTTTTCAAAAACTAGAGTAGGAGCTTTTCCCACACCTATTATAAAATGAGAAACTACTAATTGTTTGAGATGAAACTTTAGTAGTCGATATTCATTTTCATTAGCACAAACATTTTTATTCTACTTTTAGTTGTTTTTCATATAAAATATTTAACCTACCCGATTTTTTCACCAGTTTGAAAAGAATCAGTACAATTTGTGTCCTAAGGACCCTGTCGTTGAGAAACTAAGAATAACGATAATAATAGTATGATACTTGAAGTGCGAAGGCAAAATCACTAGCGTAAGATTCATGTTCAAAAATCATCCTACGACACTTATCTATAGTCAGAATAATAAGTGATACGCTCAAAATAATGTCCTACTGCTCGATGATAACAGTGAGCTGATTTTTTTGACGTTTGCTCTCAAAGACAGCAAATCCTCCTCCTTACATTTGACAGCATTTGCTTCCGAGCAGTAAGAAGCAAACGAAATCATATAACTTTTCAGCTTCTCTTCCATAATTATGCTAAGAAAAAAAACACTTGGTTGATACCATTTTGAGACTTTGCCCCAGCTACGACCTAAGACTGTGGAGAACTAAAACAAACTATTGAAGTCCTTATGAACAGCATGAGAAAAACTTGTTAAGTGTAAATAATCAGCCTGAAGCGAGATGAAGCTAGCATTCTCAGGGGTCAAGGGTCTGTTAAATGACTGAAATATACCAGTTAATTTTTGTATAAGTTGTCAATAAACTTCGTCATCAGATATTTTGTGACCTAGACCAAAGCAATAACCTATCGCTGTTGTATTTTTGTCAGAACTTATGGAGCTACTGAAATCTCTTTTTAACTATTTAAATTACTGTTCAAAGCTGTATCTGCTTGCAGAAATACCGAAATGCTTATTCCTTTGGATCTCGGAGACTCAAATTCAAACCATATGAAGAACGCCTCCATCACTTAACCTTTCCCGTTACAGTTTATGCGTCTGAGAGGTGACCTTCTCATGGCTTACAGTGCCCTTAACACTTCTGGTCATCCCCTTAGACATCTACTTAAGCTTAGTCACAATACTAACCTAAGGGGTAACACCCAGAAACTAGAGACCTAACATAGCAGAACGGACTGTAGACACAACATCTACTCCTTGAGAGTTGTCAAAAGCTGGAATTCTCTGCCGACTGAGCCAGTTCAAGCGACTTCCCAGGAGTCGTTTAGGAGGAAACTTGACCTATTCTTAAGGACTAAGGATAACATATTATTATGATTTACCGATTTCTTTGTTTCCACTATTATCGTTAATATACCTAGGTTTTTGTCTGGAGGTATTGGTGATCCACTGCTACTAGACACGGAAGCCCGTTAAGCGAAAGCTTCTTTTATTCCGTCCACAACCATTTGAACCATATGAACAGTTTCACCAATTTAATAATGAGGTGAAGTTATCATTACCCTTAAGTGTCTTATCAATGCAAAGTGCGAAAAATGGAAAACATAAATGAAGGAGTGATTGAAGGTATCCAAAATGAATGGAATGAAACTGTCAAAGACTATTTAGACCATGTGAATGCCTCAATCTGTTTATATGTAACTTTGAGTTTTTCTAACCTCCACTCATCCGCTAGACAGAGGTGTGAACAACAGTATTTTCTGAATGCTAAGGCGCACTTCATAATTCCATGAGACTGATGATCTACCTTTATGAAGAGAACGCGGTTGGTGTGATGGAAACATTTATTGCTATGACTAAAGATATTAATGATTACCGTACCTTTTTGTTTAATTGTGCCAAAAAACACATTTTTCCCGTTGTTTGTGACCTTGAATGCACTCACATTTGCACGGTAGTCTCACCTGTAAGCTATGCACGATCTCGATATTATTTCGATACCACGAGATCACCAATAAATATATCCTATCTACAATTTACAACTTGCTTCTAATATTTATCCTCCTGAAGGACTTAACCTGGTAATTGTCATGTAATTGGTCTGAAGTGGTGATCATAGTCAACTGTGACCCAAAATTCCAACAAGACCACTTAGGAAACGGAGTTACTGAGTTCTCTGCTGAAGTCGGTAAAACTTCACATACATGGGAGAGTATCTTAAATATTTTCCATGGACCCAGACAAGAATAAAGCTATAACTCAGCAAGCACAAAACGGTCGTAAATAGTCATATCCTTTCCCTCACATAATAACTCTTTTTTGATCAGTACTTCAGGTAAGGGTGCACCCTGTGCAGAGTGACTGAAAAACGTGCTTTATTCAAGGAGAATTTTTATACTTTCTGTCTCTGTGAACCCTATATCCATGTATGAAATCAGCATTTCCGAAATATACTGTCGTTTAACTACTAGGGTTAACGAGGATAGTCAATGGAAAGTATAAGCAGTAAGATATTGCACTCCATCATCATACATCGCTACTACTAATAGACCAAAACATGACACAAATCCACGAAGTCGCTGACGAGTGGACTGGGCCATGTTGGTAGGTGTAGACTACCTGGTTGGGATTCGCGAGATGATAGCAATCGATGGTTAGAGACCTTGAATGACATTGCTCAAAATCATTTGCAATGGCGAAGGTGCATCCACTCTTTGTGTTCTCCCAAATTCTAATCTTCTGAATTTTTCATGTTCTTATCTTTTCTCTCTTTCCAAATTTATTTCACTGGATTATACTTCAATAACATCTTCTCAACCCCTAGTCTTTCGGATTACTGCTTGTACTCTTACTACTTCTACCAATATGGGATTTGAATCGGCAACTGCATTTCTGTGCTAATGTGGTATGACAACTCGAACTGATGTACGTACGTACGATGCTCTACGTTGTAACTGACTGACTGACTACTAATAGAGTCGACGCAGGGCTCCGCAGTGATGAAGAGATGTATTGTAAGAGTACTAACACGCAAGGGATAAAACTGATTTATCTGCAGTCAATAAGACAAGCCCCAACAAATCACACATTCGTTAATATAAATCCTGAAGGGAACAAGGCCTCGAAACTATTTCGAGAGAAGCCTTGAAAAACTTGTACATACCTACGGCCATTTTAACTCATGCTTTTGATTACAATTAAGTGTTAATAGTTGTGTAGTGCGAAGTGTACACGTTGCAGAGAGTATTGTCGTTGTTAAGTCTAGTACTAATCGCATTTTGGACAAACCGTTCAACTGTGTTTGTATTCAATGTCATACACAGTCAGAAATGCAACGAGCACAAAAAACTTCGAAGTCCAGTTATATATTGATTCAGCAAGCAATACAGTGACTCAGTTCCTGTAAATCACTTGAAGAGTATGGAAATTGGACGGACACAAACGTGATGGAATGCATAAATAGATAAAGGATACTCAAGAGCACATGTGAGAAAGTGACAATGCCACCCGAGTGACGGTATAACTGGGATGACTAGAGCGAACCTTATGTATAAAAGCCAGAACATAAAACGCAGGTCTGTACTAATATTTATCGATACACGACTATGGATTACTGTCTATCACATTAAGTAGGAGTTAACTACATGTGCCATCAGTTATAGACCTCGCTCTTATTAGTTCTGTCTGGAAAGAATCTTAAAATATAAACACAGCACAGTTCCAAAGATACAAGGACCATACCAATAGATGTCACGTTATATTGAACAAGGATGGAAATTAATTAATTTATGACTCAGACACACCTTGAAGTAATTTATTAAACTACTGCAAACAATTATCACTTGATACAAGTATGAATAGTGATTTTATTGATAATCTGAAGTATTGTGTGAAAATATGTGAAGATGTACATGTCATGTAAAAAAAACTTAAGAGTTTGTAGTAGGTACAGATGACGTTGACTTCAACTTCATAGCATGTGAACGACCAAGTTTGTAACCTGCTTCATACCAGGAGCGTAGTATAGGTTCAAGAGTTGATAGGTCACCTTTCGTGTTATTAAAGACTGGTTGAGGAGAAGGTCGAACGTCACTAGGAAGATGACTGTCCCTACATGAGTGAAAACAGAAGATCAGAAACTTGTATAACAAACGTTTCAAAAGATATTAAACATATGATAATTCTATACGCCAAGTATACATTATACGGTAGTTTTTTTTAAATAACTTTACCAAGTGAATGTGAAAAAACATTTTGTTTCAGTAAAACATAACAAATACATTATCCTATGAAGTTATTTTCTATCAAACTAGAGGTGAAGGTTTCTCAGTACCGATTCGTCAAACGAATGTGAATTGTGATAAAAGTTGTAAATATTATTCCTAGTGGTCAATGACAATAATACAGACTCGTCAATTCTTTATCTTTTTAATTATGGTCTTCAGAACAAATATTCCTTATGGTCACTCGATTTCCGCTTCGTTCATAGTTGAGATAATGATTTTACAAGAGCTCAGGGAGTGAAACTACAAAATTGTTTCATAGTATCCTAAAACTGTTGTAAATTAGTATTCCTACTTGTTTGTTTCGATCACTGCTTATCCATGTACAATATATTGGCCTGTAGTACGGTATAGAAAACGTAAACTCGTTGCTGAGTATCAGAATAGTCAACATATGCAGGTGACATTCTGTATTTATTTAGACCTAATGAATAGACCAGTGATTTTAAAGCAATATTCTTCACGAGAATATCTAAGTTGAAAAAGATTGTCACACAACACAGTACACAAAATTGCAGCTAGGAAAACTGAATTTCAACTATATTAGTTAACTTTCTCATTAAGCTTGATATGGTGCAGGTTAATGAGTTAATCACCAAGTTGTGATCAATAGGCAATCTAAATAAACAAACGTCATGCCAGAGCACTTAACCGATAGACCACTGTGCTCTGACGCGAGACTAGTAGGTCCTGGGTTCGAATCTCGCGAGGTGGGAGTCTCACAATAGGACGAAACGGCCATCCAGTGCTTCCAGGTTTTCCATGGTGGTCTAGCTTCAATTGACTCATGATCTCAACTATATAGAATTACTAAAATCTCCACGAAATCCCCTTCTGATAATTATGTTATTGGTTACAAATCTAATTTGAAAGCAGTAGTTAAATTTTTGAAGAATTTAAACGTAAAATCGTGTTTACAAATTTTAATCAATATCTTATTAATATACAACTTGACATTATAAACAAGTCGTTATTTACATATGAAACAGAATAGATCTAGTTTGGGTGAGCCCTATAATTAGTTAAGTGAAATGGGTGTTTCTCTAAATAGTCATAGAAAGATTTGAAAAAGTTAATTTGAATATAAAATACAGTAATTAGATGAACAAAACAGAAATTTGCACAAAATACCTTGATGAAGCCAAATTAGAGAATAATTGAGGCGGAGGATTTAAACACGGCGGAATCCATTGGAAATCACAAACTGGATTGATATTGTCAATGGGTGATTGAGTATTCACTAAGACGACATTTTCTTCCTGAGTATCTTTAGTATGGTGTACCTGGATGACAAAATATACAACGATATATATATATATATATATATATATATATATATATATATATAGAGAGAGAGAGAGAGAGAGAGAACTGTTGTGAAGCGATGTTTGATTCTGTGACTGATACATAAGCATCCCGCACGCAAACCCAACTGTCTATCAGTCAGATACGAGACACACGTCATTGGTTAAATGTGACACAAACTTCTGGGCGACATATATATGTATAAATCTGTGTACAGGTATTTCTCGTATCGATTTAGCCAATAAAGCTTTCTTCCTGCATTCAGTCCTCTAAGAACTTGAAGCCGAAACTTGGCTTATGGCGTAGACATACCAATTATTGGATATCTGACTGATCCACTGTATCACCTCTCCTTCCTGAAGGATAATAGGTCTGACTTCTTGAGTTAATCCCTAGGAACAGACGTGGGGATATATATGTATAATTAAGGTGGTGAAATATAAATAAACGAAAAGTAACACACCTTTGAGTTATTGAACGTACTAGATGAATCTTGATTTATATGTTCATGGAAATTACCACTGATTTTAGAGGACTTGTGCTTCGCATTTTTACCCAATTCACTTGTTAATTTATCCTAAAAATAAAATAAATGTGGAAAATACCAAAACAATTTAAGGGTGAATTGGCATTTTAAAGAAATTGAATCCATTAGCTTTAATCAACTACATCCGTACTACATTATGTTGTGACTTGATCAAGGTCATCGCTAATTTGTTATGATCTTACAAATAAAACAAGGTCGTAACTCGCGTGACTTATTCACTAATAGAAATACGACTTTTCCAACCTTAACACGGTGATAATCAAGGACGTCCAATCAGTATGAGTAATCTCGCATCCTTATTGGTCCTTAATCCACCTAGCTCGTCCATTTGAGTCCAGAACACCAATAGCAGCTGCCGTTATGCGAATCGTTTAGTTCAAGCATATTCGGTTAAAATACCAGACAGATAGACCGCATCAACACCATAAAATAGAAAATAAGATTTATAGAACATCAAGCCAAATGTGACTGTGAACATGGGATAGAGTAATCAATAAACTGAGTATAGTTTAGGAACAGTAAATAGTATAATAATAATCAATAGGTCAAAATGACGCTTACAATAAGATGAATATAGATATACACACAATCTAATTACTCAATCGTTAAACAATAAGAATATATATAGAATAATCGTCCATTAATAGGTCCTGGGAGTTACCCGTACTTATGTCTTCGCTAGGATATAACACATTAGCTCGACAAGAAATTGACAAGATGAATAACAGAAGAGTAGGAATAATGGAGTATCGATAATAATGATAATAAAAAGGACTAGACATTGAGAATAAAGTTTGGAAAGAAGTAATAGAAAAAAGGTATGAATGAAGAAATCGCAGAAATCAATCAATCTAGTGTGACTCCGAACAAGTGATCTGAATCAATCTATAAGAATCAGTTCAATAATTAATTACTTGATAGACCTATGTTATATCATGGTTTACCTAGCTTTAGCTATCTTATAATACCTTATGTCTAACCTCACTATTACTTACTCGGTGATCCTAGCAGATACGAGTAATATTTCTAAGGAATCTGTAGTCAACTTACAAGTATCTTCTACTCTTAATGGTAATAAAGTATTACCATGACAACAACAAAATACGTAATTAGAAATAAATAACTCTATAAAAAACATATTGTCAATATAAAAAACAAAAAATTATCTACCTGAACAAGAGACTCAATTCGATTATATTCAGCAATTAAATCTTTATCATCCCAAAATGTTTCATTATCTGAATTATTATCCACTACTAATGGCCAAATCTGTTTATTGCTAACTTCAAGTGAATTCATGAGAACTATTCATAAAAAACAATCTGAAATGATGAAAAAAAAAATCTCAATATTCTTTCAGTAACTATAATAATTGATGTTTTTCATTGAGGGAATACAAATTACAGATATATATTGAACTTAGACAAATAATCTATTATGTCATAAGTGGAGTATATTCGCAAAATTGGAAAGTAATAATAAGTCGGTATCCAAATAGGACAAAATGTGTGTCAAACTGGAATCCACTGCTAGCCACTATCCATCTTTACTTATTATGCTTGTGAATTTAGGCTATATCGAGGCAATACGCACAGTATGCACATATATGCCAATTAGAAACTGATCAGTTGCAGTTCTAAAACACATCAATGTGAAGGTTTAAACAAACAATACTAAGTGAATTCGGTACCCAATAGTTTGCGTTTTTAACTTTAATTAATTTGCGACATAGTACAACTATCTTCCAATGTCATTGGTGAGTATCTGTCTTACACTCTACATAGTTAGGGAGTCCCACTAGAAATCTGTGAATTATCACACGAAATTAGTTACTGTGGAGCACATGATTGTTATGATGATAAGGTGCTTATGAAGAATGTCGAATTATGGACTGATCTTAGTAAGATGACTAGGTCTTAATGGACAGCTGCTTTGTCTAAGGATCAAACTCTTCATTAGTGCGAACCTATGACCCTACCAGCGGTTGAACCACGGAATTTCAAAACTATGCTATACAGTCAACAGATTATGTATGATTCTACAAGGTACGGGAAAAATCATCCTTTTTTGGTGCGCAATAAAACTGTAATATAGCATTTCCCAGCATTTTTCCCTTCATTTAATGTGTCAGTACTGTATATGACTGTAGTTTTCACTGGTAACTACATTTTAATCATCTGAAACTATCTACATATGTCTTCTGTAAGCATACCACTGTAGCTCATCTCAACTTGCTGGATGTGAAATGTTAACAACGCACATGTTAGAGATTAAAATCAAATTCTTAGTGAAAAATTGTCCTCTTATATGCAATATTCAACGAACAACGTTGGTTTTCAGTCAATTAGTTATAATGAACTAAGAGGCTGATACAAATTCGAGTCAGTTCAAGTCTCAAGGCTAAACTAAAATGCCGACACAAAACTAACAAGATGGATAGTAAGACAGATCGAAATAATGTAGTAGCAATGATAATGAAGTAGATTGAATATTGAAAATATGACTCAATAAGATGGAATGAAAAGAAAAGATGTACAAAGGAATCCTGAAACTGAAGGTTTAGAAGAAGATAAAGACTGATTGCATCTATGCCACTGTATCTGATTTTAAAGCACATCTATTCGGTTGATACCACAGTTTCTCATGAATTCACTAAATACTTTACTTACTTTCGCCAGTTACTCCCAATGAAGCATAGGCTGCCGACCAGCATTCTACAACCCATTGTGTCCTGGGCTCTCCTTTCTAGTTCTATCCAGTTTTTGTTCATTATTCTCATGTCTGTCTCCTTTTCTCGGTGTAATGTGTTCTTTGGTCTTCCCTATTCTTCTTTGGCCTTCAGAATTCCATGTGAGGGCTTGCCTTGTGACGCACTTGGGTGATTTCCTCAATGTATGTCCTATCCACTTCAAGCGCTTCTTCCTGATTTCTTCCTCCATCGGAATATGGTTTGTTCTCTCCCACAACAGAATGTTGCCGATAGTGTCTGACCAACGGATCCGAAGTACTTTGCGTAGACAACTGTTAATAAACACCTGTAACTTCTGGATGGCTTTCATAGTTCTCCAGGTTTCCACCCCATACAGTAGAATTGTCTTGACATTTGTATTGAAAATTCTGATTATGGTGCTGGTTGACAATTGTTTTGAGTTCCAGATGTCTGTCAGTTGTCAATAAGCTGCTCTCGTATTGCCATTCCTCGCCCTCACATCTGCCGTGTTCATCAATTATGTTGTCCAAATATGTAAAGGTTTCCAGAATTCACTAATGGATAAGTTTAATAGTTCAGTCAAACTACTACAGACAACATGAGTACGTACAAGTTTAACAAGAGATATCATGAAATATGTAACGAAACATTTTTCAATGTTTAAATTAGACATTGAATAGTTAATTATCGTTCTTTGAATATACTACTTAATTGATAAAATAGACAAAATATGTGTATAATCCAAAGATTATCATATCAATGCAATTCATATTTACTACAATACAGTCCTAAACACACTAGGAATTTTTGAATTAGTATAACTGAACAACAATCCTGTTCAACACTTATAACAAATAATTTGAACATCTAGTAAAATATTGGGTTGAGATAACATTCCTCTGATTTCCGAATTCAATGATATAGTGAAACCATATGTGAAAGATCAATTGACATCTTCACGATCTTATGCTTAACTTATCAAAATGTGAAAGCAAACATTCAAGAACTCAACATCAATCATCAGGAAGAACCATATTAACAAACCTCTACTCAACTCCGAGTTAGTCATATTGACTGTTCATCCTACTAGAGATGAGTGATAAAAAGAGATATAAAAATGTCGTGAATTGATTGAAAATTGATGTTAGACATGTAAATTTTTTGCATGCTGGTCCAAAGATTAAACATTTTCCATATGACCTAAGAAGTTTGGGTTCGATCTCCGGAAAGGTCATGGATGAGTAGTGTTTAGGAGTCTTATACTAGGACTAAACAGCTTTCCAGTGTCTCATATTTCTTAAACGTTGTCTAATTCAGATCGGTTCCTGATATCAATTACATTCAACAATTGCCACAAACTCTTTGTGTAGATAGACAATTATAAAATTAATTATCACCTAATACACAAAATAAAACTATCAATTCAAGATATTTCTGGGTTATTTTCCTTATTACTATCCTATTTTGTAATATTAGACTCATTCTCCAGGTGAAATTTATGTAAATGGCTTTAATTCAAATTATTTTATGAAAGTTAGTAACATAACCAAGTAGGATTTGAAGTTGCAACGTAGATATTGAAAGTCAAATTCTTCAACTACTGAATTATCGTTCAGTTATCACTTTATTATACTCATATACCCAACAGTAAGTCACAACGTACAACTTCGGACGTACGTATATCAGTTCGAGTTGCCATACCACATTAACACAGAGATCCAGTTGTCGATTCAAATCCCATATTGGTAGAAGTAGTAAGAGTATAAGCATTAATGTGAAAGATTAGGGTTTGAAGATGTTATTCAAGGAGTATCATTCAGTGAAATAAATTTGGAAAGAGAAAAAAGATACGGATATGAAGAATTCAGAAAATTAGAATTTGGGGGAACACAAAAAGTGGATGCACCTTCGTTATTGCAAATGATTTTGAGCCATGTCATTCAAGGTCTCTAACCATCGATTGCTATCATCTCGCGAATCCCAACCAGATAGTCTACACCTACCAACATGGCCCAGTCCACTTGTCAGCGACTTCATGGATTTGTGTCACGTTTTGGTCTAGCCGTCCCTAGCTTTCTTCCAACCTACTTCTACAACACAAAACATCGTACGTCGAGGCATTCGGTGGTTGGGCATACGTAACACGTGTCCCAGCCATCTCAACTGATGAAGTTTCACTACTCCATCAATCCATTTGCCATCCTTACCTAGTACCCATTTCCTAACAACTGCATTAATTACTCGGTGGTCCCAGGATATACCCGACACAATTTTTATTATTCAACATATATATATATATATATATATATATATATATATATATATATCACATACACACGAATGAGTCGAAGGGAAACACAAACAGTAACCATAAAAAATGAAGGTACTATTAGAAGAAGTAGTATACAATAAGATCATTTCTTTTATTACTAATCACCATATTTTTTTCGATGGAGGGGGGTGACTATATGTAAATGTGTATATCATATGTACATAATACACAAAGTATAACTACACATCAAATATGTTACAAGTTATTCAATCCAAAAAAGAAAAAGGAAAAAAAAAGTATGATCGAATAATGAAATAAACAATTTGATAGTATAAGTAATAAACTAATACCAAGTCACTGCAAAATGTTGGGCAACATTTTAAAAACAAAACTAGAAAGAGATAAAGTAAATAAAGAAAAAAGGTGAGAAATCAGAAACTACGCACAAATGTAGGAAAGAGAAAAGAATCTACAGAACATCTGAAAAGAGGAGATTGAATAAAGAATAAAAGTAAACGAACCCAATCCCTAATGATTTAAGTATTAGTTATATTCTCATTATGAGAGAGCTTACAATAAATAATACTACCCAATCGACTATATCGAAGGATTCGAATAAGAGGTCAAAGGGGGTAAAGATGTTTCAACTACGTACAAATGTAGGACAGAGAAAAGAATTTACAGAAAATGGGAAAAGAGAAGATTGAAAAGAAAAGATAACGAACTGATTACCGAATTATCTAAGTATTAGTTATATTATTATTATGACAGCTAAGGTAATACTACCCAGTCGACTATATCGAAGAATTCGAACGAGAGGTTAAAGTGAATGACATTATGTCGATCACTAACAAAGATGTTTCAACTAAAGAAAAAGTACAATTCAATAAAGAAATAGAATGAGAAGAAAAGAAGAAAGAGACAAAGCGAATAAAGAAGAAGGGTGAGAAATCAGAAACTTAAATAAAGCAAATAGAAATTACTTACAAATGTAAGTAGAGAAAAGAGTGTAAAGAAAATTTGAATGGAGAAGATTGATTCTCATTATGAGAGCTAATGAAATACTAATCCAATCGACTATATCGAAGGATTCGAACAAGAAGATCAAAGTGGATAAAAGATGTTTCAATGTAAGAAAAAGAACAAACCGTTATTTAATCCACTTATGATCATACTTATTTTTATTCTATAAAAATAGAAGAAATGATAATAAGAAACTAAAAGATTATAGATGAACAATACATATACATATATGAATCTAATGAACTTTTTTCATTATCTCCTTCTACAAAAACATACTACTATTATTATTACTAATAGTAGTAGTATTGTTCATATTAAATAAATAAAAGAGAATAGCAATTCATGTTTCAATAGAATCACTTATCATTAGTATAAATTTCCTTTTTTCTTTTTTTTGTTTCTGTTTCTTACTACTCATAAGTAAAATTCAGTAGAGAATATAAGATAATAAAAAAAGTTAAAATGTATTTTTTAAATATGTTAATAATCTTTGTATCTATCTATATACATATACATCCATCATCTATTGAATCTATTCAAAATAACAAGGATTAATATACAGTGGATTGAATTTTCATATCACCAGATGATGATGAGGATCTCGATGATGTTGATGAGGATCCTGATGATGAGGAGGAGGAGGATCCTCATGATGTTGATGAGAATCCTGATGATGATGGTTGTGAATGAATTTCAGTGATTAGATCATTATTATTATTACCATTATTATTATTATCACTATTATTATTATTACTGTTAGCATTGTCGTTGTCATCATCATCATCATCACAAAGCTGTGAAATAGATGTTGATAGATTTTCATGAATGGATAACTTTGTTTTATTATTACAAGTTGATAATAAATTAAATTGTTTTTTATGTATATGATGATTAGATGGTGTTAATACTTTTCTTCTTAAAGGTGTTATTAATGGAGTACGTGGAATAGCACGACGACGTAAAGATATTCTACCATATGGATAATCATTTTTTTGTAAATATGGACTATTTGGTGCTGATTTTGACAGAAGGCAATCTATAATATGAATAGAAGAAAATAATAGTTCTATTACAAATGAAATGTAATTTACAAGTTATATTCCCATTATACTAAATGAGATTTATTTATCTATTTAAACACACAAATATTAGCACAAAGAGGCACCACATATGGGCTGGGATACTACTCAGGTGCTCAAACTGAAGCAGATGGCTTTCTTAGGGGGCGACACCCGGAGCCTTCGACCTACAGATCTGATTCATAAGGCAGTAGAGCATGTTGAGGAGATGCAGTCACATGATAGCCGGTGACCAACGATTGATCCATACGCCATTTGTTCCCTTAGGATACTGGAGCCCATGTTCACCATTAGTTTGGAATCAGGGTTTTCCAACTCCCCTAGGTGGATTCTCTATATCCACTAGCCCGGTTAAAGTATCGGACATTCTCTTTTTGTTCTCTCGATTTCGTAGACAACACCCTCAGTGAGTAAGACTTCCCTGATAGTAGCTGTATATCCGTGTGACCATGTGAGGTGAGAAGTGCAATAAAGAGATACGTTAGTATGTTCATAGCTTTCACATGAGAAGATTATAGAGTCCTCTACAAGTTTCGACTAGCGATGATTACATAAGAATTAGCCAATCAGCATGCACCAACGCAATCTTGCATGAAACATACCTTAAGTAAATCTATTTCCTGCTCACAGAAACACAAGAAAATGAGATACAATAATCGCATAACAACAATCATCAAATAGCTCACCTTTATTATTGGTGTTCATAATAGAAGTAACAGCCGAACAAGTATTTGATTTCGCATATTCAAACCCATTGGGAACTTGAGATAATTGCTTAACACTTGAGCTAGACTTAGTCACATCACAACCAAAAGAATCTAGTGAAAAGATATGGTTAAGAATGTTTTCAACATTTTTTGAATGATTATTGCTCATCTCCATGGGAAAGTTATCATCGTTAGATGATCCTGTGGTATCAGCTGAACGTGATCTTCGTCGATGAATAACTTTTGTCACAGATTGAAAATCCTTATTGATATCATTATTGTTAATAATTACTGAAATATCAGATAATGAATCATCATTTGAAATTTCATTTGTAAAACATGATCTGGGTGCTTCGGGAATATCACTAATTGTAATACAATTATTATCTAGTGAAGCACATTGTGTATGCGGGACTTTTGGAATAGACATCGGACATGATTGTTTACTAAAAGGTGTTTGTTCGTTATTTGTCAATCGATTCCGATCACGAGTTGATTTCGGACTGCTATTGAGTGATTTTTCATCTGGTGACAATGTCTAGAATGACAATTTTAAGAAAAATAACTACTCACTACTTATAAGAAACAGATGGTAGGAATATTATATTAAATCGAAAAATGAATGACATGAAACCACTTTGTTTATTAGAATGATATGAAAAGATAAATTACTAATGAATCCAGATACGTTGTCGATGGAGATTTATTATAATCAAAGACCGTTATCGATCGCGAAACCATTGGAAGCTAGGGAGGACCTGATGGCCGTTGCGTTTAAGTCTGTAGCTTTTACCTTGGTGTGGCGGTCAAGCTTGCATATCGTGAGAATCTAATCGAGGCACACTGACTAAGACACTTGTTCCTTTATGACCTATCACGCTTTCATGTCAATCGGAGAGCGGTAAGAATAAAAGCTATAAACTTATGATTTTTAGGTGAAATCTCACTGCCAACCGTGCTGGGAAGCGAAGCCAGTAAGATGTTCATTTCAATCACCATCTACAAAGACCCTGCATCCGCACAACGAGGATCTAGTGAACGTCACCACTAAAAACAGCACACCTAAACTTATTACACAGACTACCATGCAAGCGCCAAGGCGTTAAATATAAGCTACCCCACCAAAAACCACTTACAGAAATCTTATATGACCGGTCTCAAACAGTTGTGCAACTTCTGTCTAATGCTGTCAACGACGGATTATTACAAGCTAATTTCGACATAAAATTATTTTGTAATCACGTGAAAAAATTGCACTGTTTTTCTCTTAACCACTGATTGAGAAACGTCTAACATTCAAGAAGTATATACTTAAATTGTTATCCAGAACGATCGGTTTTATCATTATGACTGGATCAAGTAAACACTTCAATTCTAATGAAAAATTTACTAGGTCGAAGAGTAGCAGATGACAATCAATTAAATAAAAATGAGCGATTACATAATACTCTACAATTAGAGAACGATTTCATCTGCGTTAAGAACAAACTATGGTGAGAAGAATGAGAATCTTCCAAAAGAATGCTATAAGATGGGACTACAATGATTCAATAAGACAATTCACATAATCCTTAGGATATTTGAAGCTATTACTACAGTTTTTATCAGAGATTCAAACTGGTTACAAAACGAAACAAGCCAGCTATTGCTTTTTATTGACTAATACAGTTCCCTGAATCCACTAGTGCAGCTGAGGATGAGGAAAATCCGTTAGCCCTCTTGAAAAACTCTTATAGGGTCATATATTTATAGCCACTTCCAACAAAGTCCTATTCAATGATCTAATATGGGAGGGGTGATTTTTTTACGTCAAAGGATGAAAAGCGAATATCCGGAGAGGGAACCGAGTTGACGAGTACGGAGGGTGAGAAAGCTGAATTTAAAACAACTACATTTAGTCTTCAGGATCTTGAAGGAATTATTGCGAGTGTACCCATTTCTGGTCACCAGCTGCCATGAGACAAAACCTCCTGATGTTGTTTGACTTTTTTGTAGATAGAACCTCTGGGTTCAAAGTTCGGGAAGTAACCCCATAATAAAACCACTTGCTTCACTTTGGGCACCTAGGTACTGCTGTACCCTTTACAAAAAAAACTGTAGTACTATTTTTGGAGCTTAGTGACGTCAGATGTTATATAAACTGAATAAATAAATGATCTCCGGTTATCAATGGATTCGACTGATTTTTTATTTTTGATAAATTACATATGATACACACATAACTCTAACAAGAAAACAAATATCTTACCCTATAAGTAATTCTAACAACACTGGTTCTCAGCTTCTCCACACCACTCTAATCTAATTTTGTTTTGGTAGCCACTAAGAAATAGTAATAACTATCCTTCGTAAAAAGTGTTTAACAAATTGCATTACGATAGCTAACATATGTAACATGAATTTTTACCACATAACTAGTTTATGAAAGCTTGTTACGTGACAAAACCAATAGACGATAATACAGTTGTGAAAATGAATGGAATATAAGACTAATTACATACTAAAAGCCATTTCTTGCAAAAAATAGCATACGCGAGCCGAATAGTTGTGGTAACACCTCATACTATGAACTGACTGATGTGAGCTTGAATCTGTCAAGAAGTATCAGTTGCTTCAAGAGTGCAGGTACACCTTAGTGACGTGTCAATAAAGACAAAAATAAGGCTTAAGGTTTTCTGGAGACTTCCTTCAATACCTAACATTTACATTGCCGTTTGTATCGTATTACGCAATATAGAAATGGAAAAACTAGGACTTCGTCCCTATGTCGATATAAATAACACAACACTTCTATAGTTGAACATGTTTATGTATAAATACACAAGTTTTGGTTTAAATAAACCAACAAGAAAAAACAAACTGCTCACTAAATCGATCATCAGTGGAGAGCCAGAAAAGCTAACAGATGAGACGACAGAATTTTGTAAAACTTGATTGTCAGCACTGTTATTATGATTTGATATTAAACGACTTCTTTTCAAAGGCTTGGAACATGGACTATGATCCGACCAATTTTCTTCGGTTGTATCTATAGGAGGTATATTGTAGTCCTTTGTGTGTGTCACATCTGTGCACGGAGTTGAAAGAAACTGATTGTCCAAAGATAAGTTTAATTGTTGGACTAGTTCAGAATATCTATTACTGGACAAAAACATAGGACTATTTGGTGACATTGTTACTGTTTTGGAACAGTCCAAACAGAGTGAACAAGCACCGTTCGGTGTACTAAGCTCTGCTTCTGACATATACAGTGGAGATTTGACAGGTTGATCAGAATAATCACTGGTCCACTGGTAGGAAATTTTAAAAAAAAAACACAATAGTATGATGTACAAACAACAAATAAATATGAAAAAAAAACTAAAATGAGGCAAATATTTGTGTGAAAAATACAATAAAACAATGTATATAGCAAGTCCAAGTATTACAAAGCATTTTATTCAACTTAAAGACTTTTATTAGTTTGAAAATGATTTCCAGGGTCAAGTAATTTTCGTAAATATTTACGTGAATAAAGCAGACGGAACCAACAAATCTTCATTTGTACCAGCTGTAATATTTTAATTTTGTGTCGTGCAAATTGCAGTGGTTGCCGTACAAACAGCAGGACGGCGGATACAAGGTCGTTACATACATGACAGACGTGACACAGAACAAACATGAATGTTACAGAACTGTATCGTTTAATACATATACACAGAATGCAATCATACGGTTAGAAAATGTCTTAGCTAATCAGAACAATTCTGATGTATATTGGGATGAATAGATAAGCTCATGGTGACATAACATAGACGGTGAAGTTCTCACTATATTTGGATAAAGAATGAAAATCAGCATTCCGCAAAGCAACGAAATATCCAATAGAAGATCAGGGGGGGTGATTGAGCAGTCATCTGTCCTACACTAACCTATGGATGTTAAAAATAGTTTTTGAAAAGGACATGAGCAGATGAAAATTTTCTGACGACCATAGGTACTTTTGAAGTATTGCTCACAATTCGTGGGCAATGTTACGCTTAGGGGTATAGTACTAGTAAAATATGGCAAATCGGTTGATGAGGCTGTGAATAGTCGACTGGAATGGTCGATATGTGTTACGTATCCCTAAACACCACCTGCCCCCATACGGAATGTTTTTTGATATAGCAATAGGTTAGACGGTAAGGGCGGTCGAACCAAAGCACGACATCATCCCATGAAGTCATTGATTGTTGAAATGGCCCAAGCTGGTAGATGCACTCTACTTGGTAGGAGTGCATTTGTTTGTCACTATTAGCGGTTACTGATGAGTGAAATGACTCGGAATAAAGCACAATGGTACATATCTTTTACCCTCCTTTAAATTTTGGGCTTCTCATAAGCTGAATCCATTCATTTTTAGGGCCATATTTTCAATATTTGGTGTTTCTTACTATCATTGCTGATACAATTAATCCAACTCCTTTGTTACTAACCAGTTCGATTTTAGCTTTTCGTTCTGATATGATATTGGAACTTGAGCTGATGGGGATTTGTACCAGGCTCTATGTTGATTGTGACTGACTAGATTTACAAGAATATACGAGTTACAACAGGATTCAGACGAGGTTTCCACGTTAGTGAATACAGCAGTTTACGAGTCGCAATAAAGGACCAAGTTTATTTCCATTTTAACTAAAGATTGAAAATCATTGGTCATATAAAACAAACAAAGTGTTCCTATTTAATCCCCCAAAAATGTCCAGTTAGGTCTCCTAGTTTTACTCCAGATTAACTGAAGTACACAACATTAGAGGTAACAGAGCCCTTTTTCAACCCCAATCATAAAACTTGAACACAAAACTCGCACTAACGACAAAATAGGTCTAATAAAAACAGAATAATAATATCCTATCAACTTACACGTGCTAATACATGTTGAGTATGTGTACGGACTTGTTCACGAGAGAACTCATTACGACCATTTGGATTGCGACAACCGTCGGCTGCACAAGAACAAGGAAAGGATGCTCGATCAACCTGCATTATGACAGAACAAATGAAAAACAACGAATTAATAGTCTCTCTCTTATGATCCAATGCCAGCTGATACCGAACAAAAGTTAGGAACATATTTGTTGTCTTTTGAGATGATAATTATTTTCCATTTTGTTATATCTGGCCGATTTTGAACGCTATTTCGCTTCCCTAATCTAGTTCGGTACCCCGGAGCTAGAACTATGCACCGACTTGAAGACCAGAGAAAAGGCACAATGTGTGAGGGAAGCACTGTACTACAGGGTTCCTTTATGTACAGAAAATATAGGGATTTTATAGTAATTTAGAGTCCTTGAGTTTTACCAAAAATTCTAGAATACTGCTAAACATAGTAGCAGTGTATAAATCAGCCAATCAGGATCTCCACATGTGACTTTTCCATTTTCGTTATTTTAGTAACATAACTTCACATAATTTCTAATTAATCGCTGATTGGTTGAAATGCTCCTTGATGACCCCTGAGCTTGTCATGTCGCTTGCGAGAAAAATGCAGGGTCATCCCAACACATTTAATCATTAGTAAATAATCCTAAAGACACACTAAGTTTGGAAGTCAATATTGAATTTTATGGGATGCAGTTATACTGCCTACAGTATAAGTTAATGAGTATGATACAACACATTTCTCATAATACATCATAAAACGGTTTAACAAGTTCAGGTTGAATTGAGAGGTGGTTACAAATAAAGTATTTATTTAAGTGTCTATCATTTTCTGAATAACGTAATGGTAATAGTAGTAGTAGTAATGGGATGAAGTATATCTGTATGAATGCTGGTAGTGTTAACAGACAGTTTTATACAAAGAGTGTGAGACGAAAATTCTGTCCTGAGGTTCATTAGGTTGAAATCGAATGACAAAATTATTATGTTATCGTTTAACTAGTATTTATGGGCTGTTACTCTATACATATTTGCAAAGATAATAGTAATACTAATGCCTCTGGCTTGAGTAATTAGAATAAATCAAATTTACCTGACAAGGAATTCCATCATCTGCGCATGGGCACTGACCAGGTATACATGAATTCTTTGGACCACAGTTGCAACCAACACGGGAGCGCATAGCCCGTATATACGAACACACAAGACGTTCGGATTCATCAATTTCCACAACACCTAAAGTGAAGGTATGTCAAGAGTATTTGTAATTTAAGAGAAACACCATAGTAATATTTAGAGTATCGAAATAACAACGAAAATCATATGCTGCTACCAAGTTATTAGAACTCACCCGTTCCTGATACGTTCCAACTTCAAAGAATAGGGAGTAACGCTTGACCCGGCTACCTGACTACCTTACCAGCGAACATAAATGGATCAAAATACTATGTCAGCCACCACTTTGATAGGAAATAATTGAAAACTGCTGTTTGTTGCGGAAAAGCTAAGATTCCTACCGTGTGGTGGGCACATACATGGCTACGTCCCACCGAAAGCATAAAATTTACAATAGGATGATATCCATAAGCTTATATTTGAGGTCAATTGATTATAACTGTTTTTATACTGATTAATAGCAAGAAATTAATCTTGGTAGATTTCATATATGAACCGAAACGACTCATACGCAAATCGTAGCTAATTGTACCAAATGAACGGCCGTGAGGTACAAAAATAATGTGGACCAAAGAGGTATTGGTGATGAGACTTTGTAGAGTTATGAGAAATAATAACTCTGGTAGTTGATGAAATTAGCGCACAAAAAGACGAACCAAAGACTCACTTTAAGACCGACTGGACAGAGCACTGAGGAGTATTTTTGGCTGTTTCAGATGCCTTTTCAGTAATCTATCCATAAACTCAAGTAAACAATGATATCGAACCTCCGATTTTTTAACAAAATTATAATTATAACTTGAAGCAAGAGAGCAGCAGATCACAAGAAGTTATCTTCGTATTTTAAGAGCACCATCTAAATGACTAAAACACTTGTCTGAGTTCTCAGTTTGAACGTAATTTCATGTAATTAGTCCCAACCGTTGTGATTTATGAGCAGGGACTAAACATCTCTGTGATAAGCATCAAGAGATCAGTGTGTATGACACGTCACTGCCCAACATTTAAATAAGATTTGCAACTAGAAAAGCAAAATAATCGAATTATTTTTAAGCCTGACCATGGTTACATAGGACTAAGAGTTTGATAACACAAATGATTACTAGGTGCAATCATTAGCTCACAGATGTGCTATAATTAAAGCCAAGGAAGCAAAGTAGTACATTTCTGTTGCGTTTATTTTCTTAACACAAAACTTATATGTGAGTGCAGAACAAATATATCAAGAGTATCAACAACGTGTAATCGCTCAATTTCAGCAGTGATAAAGTAGTCGATAATAATTGTACAATTAATTTCTTCAATATAAACTTGCCAAGTTTAGAATATTATTAAGAGAAATTCTACTACTAACATGTCAGAGGCTTAATATAGTCACTTTACTAAATCATCTTACGTATAAGGGATTTCAACACTAAAAGCTATCATTAGAAGACATGCATAGACGGGAGAAAAATCATAAACACTAAGTTAATACTTACCAGATGACCTCAAAAGTCTTATTCTTGCGGCAGAGTGTAAAGGCATCAACTTTTCTCGTGAGTTATTTTGCGTACGTTTGGATGAATTTACAGAAGGAACATGATCAAGAGAAGCTTCGGAGTCTGTATCCAGAAAATCGAGTGAGTTGCAAATACTGTTGTCGACTAAAGATTCATCCAAAGTGTGGAGAAACCTTTTTGGTGAAGGAGGGGACAAACAAGGGGGAGGAGGAGTAGCATGAGAACTAGAAATTGTATTGTCTGTGTGGCCGACAAAATTAACCTTGTCGTAACTGATTTGCGGAGAAAGTGGTGGAGGTGGTGACAAAATTGGTACACGACATGAATCACCGGGACTACGACTACACAGTCCATTTGCACGTTTACCTCTTCCTTTAATCTTATTCTTGCCACGTCCGCGACCAGATATATTGGGGACAAACGGACATTTTTGGGAGAGCAATTTTTGTTGTCTGCGTCGAAGTCTCTGCAAAATTTTATGTTGCCGAAGATCTAGTCGAGAAACACTAAAGTGTTTTTGCGCCATACCAAGGGTGCACCAGCCATTGTCCGGAATCGATGAAAAACCTTGTTGACGTGCGAACGAATATATAGTAACACCAGAAAATCTAATAGACTTTCCGACACTATCCTTGCATTTGGCTTTTTCTCCACTGATATGACAAACGCTATGATTAGGGGGATGCTCCTGTGTAAGATGTGATGCTGTGGAACAGCAACTAGATGACTGTACCGAAGAACAAGATTCATGACCAGTCTGTGAATTTAGGAGAATCTCATGCTCATTGCTGGGAATTGCTGTCTTATCAACACCAATCACCGAACCCAAGCAACAATCTGATTCAACAGTTGTGCGCATTTTTACGCTTAAAGAAAATGACAAGCCTTTTGCGTAAGGAACGCCCGAAGTGACCCATTCAAAGCAACCTCTACAAATATTATTTGAAATCGCACCGTGTTTATACTACATCCAATGCTTTGTTTGAGAAATCAATGTCCTCATTTTCATTTCCAGTCCGGAAAAGACATGAGGCTGAATGATCTGTGTTAATCATGGTATTGGCGATCTTTCATTTGATATAATCTCATTTTGACAAAGCTTCAATCATGAGTTGAGGTAATGAGCTACATGAGAAAGTCTATAGTCAGTAGAAAAGTAATTTGTTCTGGACTTTTGAGCATTTTTAGAGTGTCCTTGTAAATTATTTGTTTCCAAAGACAAGCAAAATTAATTCATACCAGATGCAAATCTATCACTAAGTAATTTAAAAACTGTCACCATTTCACCTCTGGTTTTTGTTTGTGACAACAGAAATATTGGCATAATGGAAACAATTGTTATTATATCCAGCTGTACCGGTGATTATTTTACTGCACCTGTTTGTTTAAGTGTACCAAAAATCACACTTCCGTTGTTTGTGACTTTGTACGAACTCTCGTACGCTCAGTAGTCTCGCTTGTGGATTCGGGCACGATCTCAGTATTGTTTCGATATCATGGGATAGCCAACAAATACATATTACTACAACCTTCAACTGCCGTCTGATATTTGGCCCTTGGAGGAATCTAACCTAGCAACTGGTACGTAGTTTTCCTGTAGTGGTGACCATTGTCAACCGCGGCTCCATGACCACTACAAGCCTCTGAATCACTAGCCCTTCATATGCATATTGGAGATGAGAAGATGCCGAAAAACAACACGGAGAACACCAAACGCAATCCCACTTGATATGTAAACTATGGAAGAAGTAAAAACTTTCACGTAACTGGACAGCATCATCGACATTCAAAGAGAATCAGATGTAAACGTGATGGTGATGATTGGTAAAGCAAGGGCTGCATTCCTACAATTGGCGAACATATGTGACTCAAGACAACCGTCCACTAACATCAAAGTCATAATTTTCAATACGAACATTAATACTGTCCTGCCATACGAAGCTAAAACGTGGAGAACTACCACCACCATCGCCAAAAAATACTGTTATTTATACACGATCGTCTACACAAGATACTCAGTGTTCATTGGTAGGATACCATCAGAGACATCCTAATGTGACGAAGAACAAACCAACCACCAATTTAAGAGGAAACTAGTAAAAGACGTTGGAAGTGGATAGAACTTACATTGAGTAAATCAGCAGGCTGTATTACGAGGCAAACCCCAACTTGAAATCCTGGAAGGAAATAGAAAATAGGAAGACATTGAAAGGATGGGTGGTGGCTGGAAACAAGTGGTAAGAGCGACCTATGCTACTCCATGAGGTGTATCGGGCGTAAGTAAGTAGCCGCTTGTGTGTAACACTGAAGCTTAGGTCGCACGTAAACTGTATACAAGATCAAAAGGATCTTACCACTGACACGACTAAAGCGTCTGCATATTGTACATGGGGTTTTAGATTCTTTATCCGCTCTCGCATGGCTTTTTCAGACGCTTTCACGTATTGCCTGTCGATGAATCCCAGGTTACTGCGATTCTGAATAATAGGTAGCTCAGTATTACTCACTATGTATGTATTTATACCTTGGTAAACAACGTACATCACAATGCACTTGGAAGCATTTATGTGCAACTGCCAAATTCCAGGAAATTCAGATGATTTCAGCAAGTCGTTTTGAAGCTTTGAACCATGACCTTCATTTTTTACTCGATAGCGTCAGCTTATAACAAAACCGATGATCATAGGAGACTAGTAAGTTTATTTACATACGGGAGGGACAGCATTGGTCTCAAAACTGTACTTTGAAGCACTCCGTTAAGAATAGTTTCCCAGTTAGACAATTTCGAGTTCACTTGTACTCTTATTTGACGCTCAACTAGTAAGTCTTTTATCCAAATAAACAAAACGACTCCATTTCCCAAATCACCTAAAATAGATATCAGCCGGTTGTGAGGAACTTTGCCAGAAGCTTTACTCTAGTTAATGACTCATCGTTAGGTGAACTTTATTCATTTTGAGTGCACCAAATTTCATGGGCTACCAATTAGTTTACGAGAGGTCAGTGACTTGTTCTAGAGCCATGCTGCTTGTCAGAAATGATCAGGTTTTAGACTAAGCTCCTCGAAATCTCTTCCCAAATAGTCTATTTTAAAACTTCGGTACACACACAAATTAGGTTTACGTATACATGATTAACAGGTTTTTGTTTCATAGCTGTTTAAAGGCAGGGCTAACTATGGCGTTCTTCCTTTCTTTTGGTAGTTTGTACTGTGTTAGAGATATAATAAAATAGATGCTCAGAGGATTTGCGACAACATTTGCCAAATCCTTTAGTAGGTTAGAATGCTGGTCCAATGGATATGTAGTGTCATTGGTTCTTAACCATACGATCCTCGAGGCCGAACATACGATAACTGTTAAGGTCCTCACTTAACATTTCATAGAGATCAGAACGAGGAACGCATGAATCTTCATTGGTTTGGCATGGTTCTATTATGAAAATGTGATCACTTCATGTGACCTCTTGTTTTTACATATCGTTTTTTTTCTCGGCCCAAATGCATTCTTAAGAAATCTTAAGCAGTAACGACCGGCCATCATGATTTGATGAGTCAGTACAGATAATGATGTGACGTCCACGTACAGTCAGATTAGGTGGTTACATCACAGTAGATCTATTAGTCTAGCAACAAAGATAAGTGAACTTAAAACGGACCTTGCCACTAATCTTGGAGAACCAAAAGCAGACCTACCTGTTATACAGTAGTAGGGACGACTGGTGATGACCACTGAACAGAGTCTGTTTTGTATCTAGTGCAGGTCTTCAGGTACTAGAGTTTTATTAGACATTGGTGCTGAAATCAATGTTATCCACTCACATGATCATTTGGGTCAGCAAATTGGTACATGAGACACCAACGAAACATTGGCAAACACATGGACTGAACAGCCAATCATACTGAATTGCAAAAAATCTCACACTAGGGACTTATTTTCTTGACGCCTACAAGTCAACGGTTGCTGTGATTACTAGGAAGCTTATAGCAACCATCCTACAACCAATTTCAATTATGGTTAATTTGGGTTAAGACCTTTTATTAACTTACTTAACGGACTTTGTTGTTTGGATAGCAACAATTCGCATATATTTGTACTGTTATGATCACTAGAGCACATGACAGACCCTAACCAAAAAGTCGATTGCTTAAATATCATTCGATGATTCATCCTCCTCCCCATATATGTATGCACTCAAATCCTGTTATTAGCTTTTGCTTTGTCTAGCTGGGCCCTCATACAATTTGAGTATAAATCTGCCTATGTAATTGCCCATGCTTGGTCGCTGTTACTTATTCATGTGTTTGTAGCTTTGTGGCCCGCGTCATTTGATAATAAACTGCAGTTGCAGCTCCTCATTGCCTTCTGATTTCATGCCCAATTGGGATTTGTATTATAACGGTTATCGAGATGAAGGATTAGCGAAACACTGCACTACAAGCCCAGTGACTCAGATAAACGTCTTCAACATAATATTATCATGACCAAATACACCTTTTATGATATACATATGCCATAGTGGACGACATTATTTGTGAGCAGGATAACATAACAAATCTGAATCATGATGTACAATATAATACTTCTGCAAGAGCAGGTACACTCCATAGCAGTGTACCATGAAATAATACATAAGACATTGTAATGGAAGTCAAAGGGGATGAATGAGTACCACTTCATGTTGCATAATAGAGAGCTTATTTACGTAATTCTTACAAAAATAATGTTAGGGGCGTGAAAAAGGTTTCTTTCGACCAAGTTGAGATCTTTTTTAGACTTTTGTGTGATTATGCATGAAAATCTCTCAAGGTGTGCACATTTGTGACCACTTTTTCTGGATTCTTTCAACTTTACATTCCCTTTGAGCTTATGATATTGTTGGGTCGGTAGTACTTATTTTTATGATAGGGTTCGCTTTTAATAATTTTCAACCAATTTTCTGTGTTTCTCTTGAATTACATCTACGTCCTTTTACCTGACATTTTCGTTAGGGCAGCTGTCATATTAACTCCGTCTGTAGCTCTTCTACAGTTACTGCCGGTCCCAAGCCCGGGTAAATGAGAAGGGTTGGGCATGGGGTTAGCGACCCCATCCCGTAGAAAAGCCAACTCGCTAAAAAACGCTAACCAGAAAAAATAATTCAAACCATTTAAACTCTGCCCTGACACTTGAAGGAATAATTATGACGTCTCATGATGAAAGCCGAAATTCTTCGGAAGTCACGAGACCGATGCACCTTCTAACAACCAGAGCAACACTCTTTATAGGTACATGGAACGTCCGGACGATGTGGGAGACAGGAAAAACCAGCCAAATAGCAATGGAAATGAGGAGATACAAATTGGCAGTACTCGGAATCAGCGAAACCCATTGGACACAAACTGGACAACAAAGGCTAGGTACAGGAGAGATGCTGCTGTACTCCGGTCAAGAAAGGGAAAATGCTCCACACACTCAGGGAATTGCTCTAATGCTGTCCAAAGAAGCACGAAATGCACTTGTGGGATGGGAATCTCATGGACCCAGGATAATCAAAGCATCATTCAGAACAAAGAAGCCAGGGATCACAATGAACATTATCCAATGTTATGCACCCACTAATGATAGCAACGACGATGATAAAGATCAGTTCTATGAAAGGCTGCAATCAATTATAGCAAAGTGCTCACGAAAGGACCTCACAATCCTGATGGGAGATCCAAATGCTAAAGTTGGGGTGGACAACACAGGATATGAAGATGTAATTGGACGACTAGGAGAGAGAAATGAAAATGGGGAGAGATTTGCAAATCTATGTGCATTCAACAAATTGGTTATAGGCGGGACAATACTAACACACAAACACAAAGCTACATGGATCTCACCGGACCACACCACAGAGAACCAGATAGATCATATTTGTATCAACAAAAAACTCGGAAGGACAATGGAAAATGTGAGAACCCGGAGAGG